AGATCTCAGTATTTCTGATTATTATCTTTGGGGCAACCTGAAGCAAAAAGTCTACAAAAATAATCCCCGCAGCATTGATAGTCTTCAAAATGAAATTACACGCGTAATTCATTCAATTACCGTCGACGAACTGCAGAGAGTGTCGCGTAATTTATTTGTGAGATGCGCGGCATGTTTGCAAGCAGAAGGAGGTCACTTTCAGCACCTGTTATAAACCACGGTAAGTTATCTTTTTACTGTATTCTTATAAATGTGTGCATGTAGAGCAACTGATGGACGGAGACTCAGCGACACCACTACACTCACGCTATCGGGGAACGGCACTGCAGTCGCGGGGAGGAGTTGCATCCGTTCTGCGGTGGTATGACTCACGGCAAATTGCAGCCGCGGCGCGCACTTGATTGTACGCACTGTATATTCTCTGTGGGAAAGGAACATAGTTTTTTAATTTTTAAGCAAGTGGTACATGTAAGATGTCTCATTACATGTCATGTTTTACAGGATGGTTTCAGGACATCAAAACAAATAGAAAAGTTCATGTGAATATGTTACAGCTATTATAATTTTAGTTTCCATGGCGACACATTAAATACATCCTGGCTTTAACAAGTTACTTTCTTACATGCAATATTCAAAATGGCCTCCATGTTCATGGACACGCAGCTCAGCTCTTTGCAAAAAAGAAACTCACAAGTGTATGAATATTCCTGGATCTTCACATCTACAACCAATTCAGTGTCCACAATGATTTCCAAACAGCCTTTAATGCACTTCATGATTGTAAAGTGGCAGAGCACCATTATGTTGAAACCATGTGTGAAAATGCATACTGAAGATCACACCTTCCAAAAGAACATTTAACTGTGTTGAAAGAAAATTAAAGTGATCACAGCCACAAATGGGTGCCATTAAAATTTGAAGGCTTATGGGGCAGTCACCTAAAACTCCAGCCCACAAGTTGATGGAAAACTGTCACTGCTGATGGTGAGAATAAAAGTTACAAGGATTCTCATTTGACTACAAACGTTCAAGATGAACATTGGGGATCCCAATTCAAATGAAGCGAGATTCATCTGTGAATAAAAACTTTGGTGCAACCGTGGGGTCTTTGGCCACCTGTTGCAAAATCCAGTGACATAATGCAGATACATCATGTGGTAGTAACTCTCACAAAGACTAAATGTGATGGGGACAGAACTACTGTTCTTGTAATGTATGGCATATAAAAGCATGAGAGACACCTCTATCGGTTGCAGGATATCTGGTACTGACAGCAGGCTGTCTTTTAAAAAACCTCAAGGATATGTTCTTCCACTGTACATTATGACTGAACATGCACAGCCAATATTCCATGTCATTTGATGAAACGTTCCCTCTCTCAAAATTGCAGTCAACAGAAGAGAAAGGTATAAAAGATTACAAACTCCGTCCAGTATGCTTGATAAATGTTTTGTCTCCTTTTTCATCTCTCATCCTTGACATGTTTCAGTCGAAGCAATCGTCCTCATGAATATAAAAGACAACTTCCACATGTATCACTTGAATAAATTTAATAAATTTATTGAAGTGCAAAAACTTACAAATGAGAGCAATAACCAGAACAGTATGTTCGGCATCATAATAAAACATCAGTACATGCCCACACAAAGGTCATGAGGCACAAGGGGTATAAATACGTGACTCAACATATGTTAGAACAGTATAACAACACAGTGGAGCCTGAACAACTAACAACACTAAAGGTAGGATCAAATAACAAAAACTCACATTTAAATAAATAAACAGAATCACTTGGTAGACACTCATCTTCCTTTAAAGATAGGCAGTGAAATGGCCACGAGCCAAATTGGTTCTCGATTTTTGCAAAGTTTTTAAAGCACACTTGTAAATAACCTAATTATAATAATTTATAAATATTTTAATAAATTCGGGCATATTACTGTAGTTGTTAAAGGCTATGATTTTATATTCATGACATTGTAATGGTACTGTATGTATGTACTAATAATGACCAGTGACATTGTAATAGTAGTTTCCGCACAAATTTATATGTCCTTCTGAGGACAGTCACTCCATCCGAAACATATAGAAGATGAAAGATTAAAAAGGAGAGAAAAAAACATTTATCAAGCACATTGGACAGAGTTGATAATCTTTCATACTACTGCTGGTGTGATGGACCAGGATGAATCAAATCAAATTTAACAAGAAGTAAAATACGACCATTTGACACACATGCTAATAAGGGTATTTTTTTCCCATATCTTCTAAAATTATTTGCATCATTTCCACTCAACTCTCCTAACACAAAATACATGGCCATTGATGCAATAAATGAATAGGCACATTCCATCCTGGATCAGTATGCAACGGAATTTCCCAAACTTAACGAATGTTTCAGACTGACTCAAAATGTAACAGGTACTAGTGACTGTCTACATAGAATACTACATATTCAGAGTAACACCATCAGGTAACCAGACATCAGCTGGCAAGAACAGGATCTGAACATCCGTTCATAGGACCTGAAACACGTTGCGGCATCTCAGTTGGAGTTGCCAAGAAAGCGATCAGGGACTGGACTGATAGAAATCACAAAAAACATTGGGAATCCACAACTTGACTCAAACAGGCAAAAGGATTTATATCAGGACCCTCTGCCAAAAGAACGAGGGACCTGTTGAAATTAAACACAGATCAATTAAGATGGGTGGTAGGATTACTTACTGGACACTGCCACCTAAAAGGGCACCTTTTCAAACTGGGAGGCCGGATTGTATGGCCCACCCCTCATACTCATACTCAAGGCCATCAGGTACTATAAATGTCAACACAGCATTTGTCATCAGATGGATTCCTACAATCACCATGCAACACAAATGCTCTCAGACCGTCTGTTTTTCAGAATATCAATGACAGGAGCTGACATTTCCTAACAATTATAACTTTTTATGTTTTACTTATTCTGATGTCCAGAAACCATTTTATAAAATATGGCATGTAATAATGGGACACCTGTATCATGACCACTCCACTTTGAGGGTTAGGTAGGCCACACACCAGCATGTGTCAAGACATGTAACAGTCAAGACACAATGTCTGCGACATGACACAAAGAAAGGAGCACACTAGTCTGAATCATGACATCAGCATCATGACTCATACCGGTGTGCGGCGGTTTTCATAATCTCATTCGTTTCAACTGTGCTTCTTTCCGTGTGTCATGTTGCATACATCATGTCTTGACGCATGCCGGTGTGCAGCCTACCTTAAGGAGACTAACAACATAACAACATAGTATTCTGGAGTGAATATGAACTTAAGAATAAGGTGCTTCTTGAATCATACTTTTCTCATTTAGTAGTTTAGGACTATTAAACAAAGAAAAGGTAAGATTGATGGTGCACGTAGCATAGAGGAAACAAGAAATAAGTACGGGATTTGAGTTTTTCATGGAAATAAAACTGGCATAAAATAAGGAATGGAAGGAAGGAGACGGGTTTTGTGTATACAGTGATGATCCTTCAGGTCCCGTAACAGGTAATATCTTCACCCTGTTAATCCCTCTTATGAGAAATGTATTTCACTTAGCACGCCATCTTTCAAGTAACAGTTTACCACACTTACCAAGGGTCACCACCTGTGTTTAATTCTGCATATATCAACATAAATACTGACCTCCACTGTCCATTGGCTTGGCAGATGCAGCAGATTTACCAGCAGACTTAACAGATCCAAATAAATCATCACCATCATCTTCATCAAAAAGAGAACCCTTCATTGATGATACCACAGATCCCTTGATTACAGAGCTACCAACATTTTTTGTGGAAGTGGCAGCAAAGAGGAAGTCATCATATTCAGGGCAGTCTACCCCAAACATGCCAGAATTTGAATTTGGTGTTTTTTCATCTTTGATGTTCTTCGATAATAGATCTTGCTCTGTGGGCACTGACTGTTTCTGCACATCTCCAGACAAAAATGAGATATTATCTTGAACATCATATACCTCTTTCGGTTCAATGATAACCGATTTATTCACATAAGTCCTTTTTTTAATTTCTTTATTTGTAGAAGTTTTGGTACCTGAAGAAAACAGATCATCATCATCATCATCATCACCTCCACCTCCACCACCACCACCACCACCACCACCACCACCACCACTATGAATGGAACTGTCCATTCTGGTAGCTGAAAACAAATCATTCAGTATTTCAGCAGAACCTTTCCTTGAAGAAAACAAATCATCAGTGTGTTTTACACATCCAGATCCAAACAGTTCCTCTTGTGACTGAGACTGTTGCATATTCTCAGACATGGGTGGTATCTCGTCTGGAGACAAAGGATCTTCTGATGACAGATAATCTTTCGATGATGCATGCGCATTCTGATGAGAGTCTGACAAATGCCTTGTTTTTCCAACAATGGTATAACTTGCATTCAATTCCGGAATGGGCTTTACTGAAGAAAATACACTGTCAGTACCAAAGAGCTCCTGCTTCTCTGTTCCTGACAATGGCTCTGTCTTCTTGGTGTCAATGTCATGTAATACCTCCAGTGGAGGCTGAATTTCACATATGTCAGGATCACTACTACTGAAATCAGGAACTGATATACTGTTTTCATTTGAGGGAATGTGACTTACGGGTACAGTAGAATCTTTTAACACTTTGCTTGCATGGAGAGTGTCCCCCTCAGGACACTCAATGGCTGTACACTTTGGCAAGTTATTTGCTGTTGGAAATTTGGCAAGTGGCTCTAACGGGGATAAAACTGGTGCACAACTGAAAAGACTTTGGCTATCATCTTTGTTGCTTCCATATTCTGAAGGTAAATCTTGTGGCACTCCAAAAAGGTCTTCTTCATCTGTTGATGGAGAGAGAAGATTACTGCTGCCATCTACAAAACTTGATGATTGAGGCTTGGATGGACAATGCACAATACCAGAGGGAGGAGGTTGTGAACGTGTGGAGCTCACACCACCAGGTTCTTGTATGTCATCAACAGTATCAAGTCCTTCAGAGAAAATACCAGACGTTCTCACAGCTTCTTGGCGAGCTCTGCGACTAGGGGGTCGCCGCTTTGCTTGAATTTTGGCACGATCCTGAAAATGTAAATGAACTATTAACTGCAGGGCTTACAGCTGTGCCATAGCTCAAGCAGTTAGTCTCTGATTTCCCATCGCAGCGGCCCGGGTTCAAACCCAGGTCTGGTCAAGTGGGATTTGTGGTGGACGAAGTGACGCTGGGGTGTGTTTTCTCCGAGTACTTCAGTCTCCCCTGCCAATCTTCATTCCACCAAATTCTCCATCATTATAATCACCTGGGACAAGTACCACAGGCCAATCAGTGGCCTCCATGCCAAGTGGACCGAACTTGACTCCAGCCCCCACTATGCGAATTTAAAAAACAAAATTTAACTGCAGGGCTTGAAGGTAATACATATATTCCTCATATTATTCAAATATTTGTACCCTTAAGGAGGGAGAATTTGGAACTGATACTGCCAACCTGTAAGTGTAAAATAACTTTCATCCTCAAACTTGTCACTGTCTCAGATGGTAAGCACCTAATTATTCAGAGGTACATCAATAAACTGTTATGATTTGACAAACATAAAAATATACTAATTCCAAATGGTTTTGTACAGTACACTTCCAAGCTATGTCCACTGTCTAGTATTCTCAACAGAACACATTCCAAAAACTGTTATGTCCCTGTCTTTACATGAATAGCTTGTGAAGCACACACTAAGTTGAGTCCATTAGAAAATGCTAACCTCAATCACTGGACCAACTGAATAGGTGCCTCTTCCATGTATTATGAGGACAAAAGCAGACAAGGTTTCCAAAATGTTGTGTTCTGTACAGAATACCAGATAACTGATAATATCCTGAAATTCAGTATTATGCAAAACATTAACTTTCATTACATGAAGTAGGTGTTTTTTCATTCATTATATTTATTATTTTTTAAAAGCAAGGCCACCAAGTATTTGAATTTAAACATTGTAACCAGATACAAAGTACTTTTCAAATCGCTCACTGTAAACCCCAGTGCTACAATGTTTTGTAAAAACTGAATAACACAAGAATGACCTAAAGACCGTGGTCTCCTGGATTATGAAAACGTATTCTTTTATGTGGTTACAACAATTTGGAAAAACTTGCTGCCTCCAACTGCAAGGAAGAAATGTGTAAAGATAGAAAGTCAGGACACTATATAGGGTGGGTGGAGACTGAGCTATAGACAACTCAAAGTCAGAGTGGTGGAGCTGATGCTCAGACCAGTGAACACTGTAAGGGAACATGAATGGCCACATACAGGCATCAACAACAGTGACAACTAGGGGTGCACTCAATCTCAATAGTCGATATTTTGATGAGGACAAGAGAGGATAATTTTACCGTGTCCTGAGACCCTTCTTTTTCTTCTATGAACAAATGGACAGAATGGCCATTAGTTCTCCACTATCCCCTTGATTAATTGCCAACTTCTTAATGGAGGACTCCGAGAAAGGTGAAGCTCCTAGAAGCTCAAGCAGGAACAACTACACTATGTTTAGTACACAGGTAGACCGCACTAGTCACACATGTGACACACAAAAATTACCACAGCTGCAATAGAGTGCAATGACAGCATTCTGATCACGATATAGTGCTAAAATTGGCGTGCATGGAAGCACAGTGAACAAGTATACAGTGCAGTGGTCTCCCCAAAAGATGAGAAATTACCTGATGATGGCCCATGTGGCCAAAACATGTCAAAAATTAGTACAAATATATGACTAAAGACATTTTAGAAAATTGGATAATCACTTTTAATGTACAGAATGGGCTTTTAATGTCCTACTGACATATAATGATTTTAACAACATCAAAAAATGCTGAAATACATTTTTAGTGTGAAACATATTCCCATTGTCTTTTAAATTGTTGCATTATTGACGGATACTTTTCATAATAGGATGATGCCTCAATGCAACAGGATGCTACAATATAATTCTAGAACATCACTGATAATTAGAAACCTAACAGTAAATTGTACATCAATGGCAAATTGCGACTTTAGGCTCCTACCATAGGGATAACTGCCCATGGCTTCCTACACTCTGTTATGCAGATCTATATATGTAGGTCTATATGGCTTCAGGGGACTAGAGGCTGATTTTTTTCATGGTTCCTACCAATGGTAACATACCAGATCAACAGTTACATGATGGTTAGAAGAGTATCTACACCATTCTGGCCCCAAGCTGAGTACCATGTGAGTGTATGCTGACTTACAGCCTGGGATCTGCACCCAGACTTGCATGTATGGGCCAGCAAGAAAGAGTCCACTCAATCCTCATTTCTTAGTTCCCCTGACATCTACAAAGAAATACCATTGCGCTGAAACCATGGCATGAGAATGATACAGTAACTGTGGAGATGCTGTGGTAGTTCAGCATTCAAATGGGACTAGTAAAAATAAGAGAGATGATTACAGGATGGTAGGGACTGCATACAAAAACGGGAGAAGGTAACATGACATAAAGAAGCAAGGCAGCCCCCATGGCATTTGCACATCAGGATGTGGACTAATAGAATGTGACGGGATTCTACCGAGACGGGTCAAAGATCACCATCAGTATACTGTTATCACCCACAAATACTAGTCGTGGTAGAATACAGCATGACATTCCTACCACAGGACATTAGTATCCGGGCCAGAAATCCAGAACCATGCATTTGATTGTCAGAGACTAAGCTCCATCACAACAGTATTCTCACCCTGAAGGAATGAAAGGTCCTCTCTAAGGGCAAGGCACACCTTGACCTGACATGGATTTCCTCTGCTCTGGTCCTTATAAGGGTCTTCTTTCACAGAGATTCATACAAGGGCACTTTTCATTCCCACTGACCCAGAATTCATCCCCTCTTCCCTATCCCTCACTCTACATTCCAAACAACACAGTTTCAATATCCTATAATAATAAGATTATTTCTGTAGCTGTAAGAGCCATCACTCACCTTTCCTGCATTGGGTAGGGTTGCATTAAATTGAGCTGGTTGATCAAAACTAACAGCTACTTCAACACTATGATTCTCTCTAAGAGAAGGTCGTGCTCCAGGCAGAAGTGTCACAGGGTCAATATTCGGCAGTCTGGGACTTGCACCAACAGACCAAACCTCCAGTGTACTGCTGCTATCACATTCTGCAGGAACTGAAATTACACGAAAATGAAATGAGTATGACACAAATAATTCCTTTAATAATTGATATTAAGTCTTTTCAACCCATCTGCATCCACAAGCAAGCCTATACACACTCATGCTACAGGCCATGATCACCCCAAGTGCACTTTCACTCAAAAGTGAAGATTGCTTGAAGTGGTTCTGCTGTTATCTGTAAGTGATAATAGAATAGACAACAGAAACTACTTTACAGTAATCCACACACAAGGAATGCTGATAACAATCACTACTTCTACATCATGCTATCTGAAGTGGAAAAAGAACCTGACCAGTTCAGTCAGTGCCTAAACAGAAGTCCAGAAACAAATTTTCCCAATGTAACTGTATTGTAACATCAACAAAGCCCATGATTTTTTTCATGTAAGTTATATGACAGCAATATTATATTTAAGCATCTGGTTGCACTCTACAAAATATATGACATAAACTCCATCCTAAGTGCAACAATTTATTGTAGTTCTTTCGTCTTGCTTTCTTCTACACTACATGTTTCGGCTCCAAACGGCCATCATCAGGTGTATACTCTCACGTGGCTGTTACATTGCATGTAGTTTAAAATTTAAAAAACACTAGTCTTCCCAATTGTTCATTTCACCATTGCTAACAGGTTTCGATATATCAGAATCTTCCCTGCTGATATCTGTGTGATATGTACAAAATCTCTGTTAACCTACACATGTCAATTTGATTTTCATAAACTGGCACTTTTAAAATCTTCAATTCCAATTTTAAAAATTTCTTTAAAATTTTTTCAAATTTTAAAATTTAAAATTCTCAGGGTTACCCGCCCTATGTCTATAGTGCTGCAGCGGCTACTTCTTGTTTTCAGCACTCTTCAGGTGTTATTATGTGTAGGCTCCCTGTGTGCGTGCCGTTGCTTATCTTTAATACGAGGTGTGTTCAGGAAATAACGGGAATTTTAAAATTTCGCGGGTTTGGAGAGTCCAATTGTCAAAATTTTTTTTTTATTATGTTGGTATACATGCCCCTGAAGTACAATAAAATTTTCAGCTGTATTCATTGCTTACTTTGTCTGTGGCAGCCGCTAAGGTTAGACGTGTTTTTATGAGCTTGGCGATTTTCGTTTGTTAAAAGAAATGGATCAAAGAATTTGTATCAAATTTTGCGTAAAAAATGAAATAAAGTGTTACAAAGTGTGTGAAATGTTAACAAAGGCCTATGGTGAGTCTGTTATGAGTAAAACAAGAGTTTACGAGTGGTATAAGCGTTTCCAAGATGGCCGTGAAGACGTTGCAGATGACGAGCGCCCCGGACGCCCCAGCACATCAACAACCGATGAAAACGTGGAAAAAGTGAAAGCAATGATTATGAATGATCGCCGAATCACAATCAGAGAAGTCTGCGTGAGGCAATCCGAAAAAAACGCCCGGATTTGTGGAAAAACAATTCATGGCTTTTGCACCACGATAATGCACCTGCTCACACTTCGTTGCTTGTTCGTGAATTCTTGGCCAAAAACAATACTGTAACGATGCCCCAGCCTCCATATTCGCCAGACATGGCTCCGTGTGACTTTTTCCTATTTCCAAAAATAAAGAGAACCTTAAAGGGCCGTCGTTTTACAAGCATAGATGACATTAAAAGCGCATCGCTGAAAGAGCTAAAGGCTATCCCAAAAATCGAGTTTGAGAAGTGTTTCGATGATTGGAAGAAGCGCTGGCGTAAGTGCATAATATCGAATGGGGACTATTTTGAAGGCGACAACATTAATGTAGACGAATGAATAAATATTTTTTCCAAAATACGGAAATTCCCGTCATTTTTTGAACACACCTCGTATCTTCCCTACCTATCTTGGCATTGAAATCTCTGAACATTTTCACATGGTACAGAGTGGGGCGCAGAAACTTCCTTTTTGTGAAGACGCATTGTGAATGGAGGGGAGGTCGCAGAAAAGTGGGGATAGGCTCACCAAACGCAGCAGTCACGGAAGTTTCTGTCCAATACCCCTCAGTGGGAAACATGACATGGACTAGTGAGCAGCGTGTGTTTGCTGTCGAAGCCTATTTTTCGAACAACCATTCCTACATGGCGGTGCAGCGTGCGTTCAATACTCACTTCAGAATTAAGCCCAGAGATTCGGTTCCTGACTGGAAATCGATTGTTTTATGGGTAGAGAACTTTAGGACAACCGGGAGTGTAGTGAAAAAAATCATCAGGACGACAACAGACCGTTACGACACCAGAATATGTGGAGGCAGTTCGACAGTAAATTTTGAGATCTCCAAGATGCTCCACTCGCAAACATGCAGTCACCCTAGACACATCCAATCCTTCAATGTGCCAAATTCTTCACGAACATCTTCATTTCCATCCCTACAAGATGGTTGTTGTGCAAGAATTGTCACCACATGATTTCCAGAACTGAATAACGGCACGCGAAATGTTATTGGAAACTTTACCCCCTGACGCACTTGTTTTCTTTAGTGATGAGGCACATTTTCAGCTATCCGGATATGTCAACAAGCAGAATATGCGCTATTGGAGTGGTAACAATCCCAGAGAGCTCCATGAGAGGCCACTTCACAGTGATAAGGTGACAGTATAGTGTGCATTGTCGAAAGTTGGAATTATTGGCCCTTATTTTTTTGAAGAAGACAATCATGCAGTTACTGTCAATTCACAGCGTATGCGGACATGATTAAAAACCTTTTCGAACCAGTTCTTGAAGAAATGCATCTAGGAAATGTATGGTTCCAACAGGATGGTACCACGGCCCACACAGCCCAAGCTTTGATGACACTTTTGAGGGCTAAGTTCCCCAGACGGCTCATCTCACTTCGAGGTGACATCCCATGGACAGCGCACTCACCTGATCTAACGCCCTGTGATTTTTTTTTATGGGGATACCTCAAGGCAGAGGTTTTTAAACATCGCCCCACAAACCTGCTTCAGCTGAAGAATGTTATTCGGCAGGAAATAGCCCAAATTCCGGTGCACATGTTGGAACGTGCAGAGGAGAACTTCAGAAAACGGTTGCACCAGTGCATAGAGAATGGTGGCCACCACCTTCAAGATATTTTGTTTAAAACTACATGATTTAAAACTTTAAAGTATGTTCTTTCATTAGCTAAACATAAATTTTGTCTATCAGCAATAATTTTTCTTTTATTCGCCTTCAAAAAAAGGAAGTTTCTGTGCCCCACCCAGTATTTGGGGAATTTATCAAATACATATTTTAATTCCTTGTAGAAGCTGTCCTTCATACCACCAATTTTATGCTTTGTTGGGGCATGAACATTTAGAACAATGATATCACACCAGCAACCTTTTAGTATTATGTATGACACCCTATCACTAACAAACTCTACCCTCTTAAATGCTAATATGATTTCCTTACAGACAAAAAAAAAACAACTATACCTAATTCATAATTTTCATTTTTCTCTCCACAGAAAAATGTATATTTGTCTGTTGGTTTGGTGCAACCTCTGTCCCATCTGACCTCCTGTACTCTCACCAAATCTAATTTATACTTTGATATTTCTTTTGTCAATGTCATGGGCAAACCTGCCCTATTAAGACTTCTTGCACTCCACATACTAAATCTTATGTCCACTTTCCTCAGCTTAGGTCATTTAAAAACAGAATCCTTTCAAAAAAAAAAAAGAAAAAAACTGTTTACTGGTAAATACACTACATCTCCAAAAACATTAAATAGGGAGTTCACCATATTCTTTCACCTATTGCTTGTTCTTGCAGTCAATGTCTTACCTTTATGAGAGTCCACTTTACTAGACATTTCCTTCTCGCTCTCTGAATGCCTTTCTGCACTGAATGGCATTAGCTTCCGAACAATGGATGAGGAACCCTGCAGCACAGCAGACAAATTGTTGCTTGGTTTCTCATCAGTAACTTCTGTAGAATCTGAATCCAAGGTCACTTCCTTAGGCAAAGACATTCCAAATAAATCCTCATCTTCATTTGATGAACTGCTGAACAGGAAACCTGTACTCTTGCGGATGTTTAATGTCCTTGGAGGTTCCAACTTTGATGGCTGAACAGACTCTTCTTTAGTGGTCAGTCTTTCTGTATTTTCTGCCACTGAAGAAATGATTTCACTTTCTTGTCCTGATTTTGTTGAAGCCTGTTGACCATCAGATTGGACTGCATCCCCTGATAAGTTATCACATGTTTCTTTGGCATCAGTGGAACTCGAAAGTTGTGAAATGTTTTTATCAAAATTCATTTTACATGCTGGAAAGTTATCAGATTTTCCCACTGTGACCTGTAATAATGGTGGCTTACGAACAGGAGAAAGCTTTGGCTTTGGGCTTATGAGAGGTTTATTTGAAGTAACAGGCTCCTTATTAACCAGCAAGTTAGAAGTACTTGTATTGAACAGATCAGTGCCACTTTTGCCCATTACATTACTAAAATGACTGGAAGAAACCATGTAACTGGACCCATCTGGGACTGCAGCAGATACATCATTCTGTGACTCAGTTACAGGCTCTGAATTTGATGCAGTACAGTCTTTGGGAACAACCTTATTTTCATTGGCATCTTGAGTACTGCTCACTGTTCTAGGAACTGAAAACAAATCATCAATTTGGCCATTAATCCCATCTGTTTTCATTATGTTTTGGCTCCATTTCCTTGGTTTCACTGGACTTGCAAATAAATTGTCTGTACTGTCCTCTAAAACACTTCCTCCAGGAAACAAACTGTCTACTACCATGGCTTTAGAGGGCAAGGGTTCACGCTGAGATTTATTAACTGGAACAGCAAAAATATCACCAACCAGACCATCAGTGCCGCTGTTGGAAAACAGACCCCAGTTACTGTCTTTGAAGGAACTCTGACTATTATGGCCCACAGACACTTGAGTCATAGTTCTTACTGACTCAGCATCACCACTGCCTCCCAGGATGTCAAAATATTTATCCCCGCCACCAACACCAAACAACATATCTTTGCCATTATGTTTTAACTTTTCTTCAACTGTAGTTCCAGATGTAAATGTATCAGATGGGCCAAATAAGTTGTATTCTGGATCATCTAACTGTCCCGAAAATAGGTCCTTATTTCCATCTTCAATTCCTTCAGGCTTTCCCACAGTATTAACTACTGTGCTAAATATGTCAAAAACTGGCCCATCTTTGGTTCCACCAAATAGGTCTTCATTATCAACAGGGCCCGTTTTTGGAACTGCTGCAGAACGTCCTTTCTCTCCAGATGCAGCAAGCAGGTCTCCACTCCCTTGTGAGCGGCGAGAACGAGAACTTGCTGAGCTTGTGGATGAGAACAAAATATCATCATCCCCAGAATCTGAGTCACTGAAGAGAGAAATGTGTTTCTGGGATGCAGCACCAACGCTAGATATGGGACCTCCTCCATTGGCTGACTTATCAGAACTGAAATTCAAGAAAGCAAAATTGTGCTGACATACATATATATACTCATATATTACTGCCAACCAACAATTACAATCTAAACTGCACTTCTACAATTTGCTTTGCCCAACATTCTCACACTGGCCAAATTCTTGTTCCTTATTTACACAACTGACATGTCAGCTATGCCAGCAAAATGAACAGCATGGACCAGATAAACAAGGTTCATTCCTTGACAGAGAAGGAGTTTTCTCCTCATTTAAACTTTTTCTGGTTGAACTGTTAATGGATTGACAGAATTACTGGGGCTTTTGGACTTTTTCAATTGTCCAGAATTCTAGGTAATAGAGGACATGACGTAGCTGTCTTCCTTTCTCACCTGAAGATGGAAACAGACCCAGTTTCCGAAACGTTGTGTCCTCTATTACCTAGAATTCCAGACGATTGAAAAAGTCCAAAACCCCAGTAACTCTGTGTGTCATCCACCATCGTCAGAACCCTTTAGGATCTACAATAAATGCTAACAATGTTAATTTTACCAATTCAGACATCAATGCAACACGATGCAAACAATAAAAACAGCAATAAATGTTTTTCTTTTATAAAACACTGCATTTCAGACTCTTAAATGTGTTCATGAACTCATTCCATCAGATACTATGTAGGGGGTTTAAATGCCATCTCTCAAAGGTTAAATGCCATTTAACATTAGATGTCTGATCTGTGATTCAAGCAATCTATCATGGGGTCATACCTGGAGAGATAATTTCATCGTTCCAGTGAATATGCCCATTTAGGATAATTCGAAAGAATTTTATTTCAAATGGCTCTTCACAGAAGACCATGTTCTGAGACCCTATGCTGATTGGAACAGTAACGCAGAATGCACAAGCAGAAGTCAGGCATTTGTAAAGACTGGTATGGGAAAATGGGTACACACAGGCTGTAGATAGTGCCACCCAAGAGGATGCATTGCTGGATGATTATTTAGTCTGGCCAGAAAGTTCGTTCACCTCTTGCAGCATAGTACAGGGGATCGGTGAATAGTCATTGTGGGGTAATATTAGAACTAGAATAGGAAGAAAATTACTGCCACTTCAAGCAGAAAGACTAGTCCCACTGTACCACAAAACAAATGTTTAGGCCTACAAACCTTCCTCTGGGATAAATTCACAATATGGGCAAGCAATGGTAGACATGTTGAGGAGGTGTGCAATAATTTCAAGAACGTAATACTGGAGAGTATCGAAAGACTTATTCCACATAAAATACTGAGAAAAAATTTGGACCTTGAATACTACAATAAGTAGTAGTAGTATAGTAGTTTTCACACATGCCAACTTCTTACTGTTACGGCACATAGTATATGCAGTTTAGTACTGTGCTCTGAAGGGTTAAAATAAACTGGATTAAAACGTGGGTATATTCCACACAAATGTCATACAAAAAGTTTATGCTCTACAGGTTTCAATTTTCAGAGCTCTTAAGATACTAACTGAATCACACTCACCTAGGTGCTATGCCCTTCTGAGAATTGCTGAACAGGCTGTCATCATCACCTACAGTCTCATCTTGGAATAAGTATGAACTGGTGATGGCCTTATTAAGGACTGCTGAAGGATCAAACAAGGATATTTTGCTACCGCTGGCAGCAGCCGATGTCCCTGGACTGAACAAAGAAAACACATGAAAATCAAAATAAATGGATATGATTAGGAAAGAAGAGTCCAAACTTGGTCTCTCATTCTGACCAAAGAAGGCTCTTTGAAAAGAAAATGCTGAGACAATGCTTGGACCTGAGACAGGAGTAATAAGGAGCTTCATACTTTCTACTCTTTACAAAATATTTAGGATCATTAAATCAAAAATGAGATGGGCCATAACTCCTAGGTTGGAAATACAAATTCTGAATATGAACACTAATTCAGATACTTGCTGACAGTAACAAATGACACAATCTTGCTCCATCTGGAAGTGCTTTGACAGTCTCAATAATTGTAAACTGTCCTGGGCTATGGAGTTAGCTCTGGGAGAAACTCATTTGTGAGCTAAAGAGCTGGCTGACGTTTTTTGACTGAATATTTTTAAATGAAACAGAAACACACAATGTCATTTAATAGTTGGCTGAGTACCCCTAATAAATGATTCACTGCAGAATTCAGAGCATGAAAAGAAAATGTGTGCAATTCCTTGGAAACTGTGTTCTCTGTCTAGTGCCTCCAAATATAGTCATTGTTGACATTTACGAGGTCTAACAACAAAGCTGGCAAACTCACCACCATGTGCTTGCCGTGGCAGTAGTGGACAGACATTTCAGTATGGTTTGATGATGTTGGCATATCAGCATTTCACAGCTATGTTGTTGTTGATCTATGACAGTCTCTTTCTGAGTAAAACTGATCACACCAACCTTTTTGTGGAGTCTTGGTGTTCACTTCTGGTCTGACCAATACCACTACTAGTGTCCCCTGTGCACTCAGAACCATCACTACTGCATGAAGAACATGATGGAGGCTTACGAATACCAGCCTTGAACACATCCACACTGCCAAAGATAGACACTGCACCAGCAGGCTTCTGAAATACAGACAGCATGTACTTATGAAAAGTGACTGTGATTTACTAAATCTGCATATATTGTGCATTGTGATTAGAAAATTATGTGCATGCCTCCACCTGTATAAATCACTCAAATATTTTTCTCTTTTAAATATGATGAAAGAAAATGAAGATTTTCACTTCATAAAAAAATGCATAATAAGTTCAAAGTCAGCAGACTTGGTTCCAGGCCAGTAATGTCTTAAAATCTGAATTATTCAAAACCATTTTAGCAGAACTTCTGTTATTTTAAAAAGGTAGAGCTATCCCTGTGGAGGCCTACAGAGCTGTGAGATGTCAAGGCTCCCACATTTTCTATACAAACTGCTCGCATATGGCGGTGAGGTTGTCAGACCTATGTGCCGGCCCCCCTTTACCACCAGGAAGAATCCTGGTACTCATTTCTGCTAGAGGCTGAGTCGACACCAGCACCATAGTGTGGCTGGAAGAATTAGCTCAACTGAAAAACCAAATGACCTCATTGGGGATCGAACCCATACCTTTCCAACTTGTATCACAGTACCTCAATCAGCTACGCTACTGATAACATTCCCAACTGTGATAAGAACAATACAACTGCTTAGTATGGGTCCAAAAGAATAACACTGCAATTCACTCACTCACTCATGGAGCTGAGCCTTTCTCGAAAAGCTGCCAATTGCGCAGCTACTCAAGAACTTCCCAGCATTTTATGGAACTCGACAGTTCATTACCATGTTCATAAGAGGCCTCCACCAGTCCCCATCCTGAGCCAGATCAATCCAATCCATACCATCCCATTCTATCTCTCTAAGATCCATTTTAATATTCTCCACCCACCTATGTCTTGGTCTTCCTAGTGGCTACTTCCTTCCAGCTTTCCCACCAATATCCTATATGCATTCCTCCTCTCCTCATTCATGCTACATGCCCTGTCCATATCATCCTCCTTGATCATTCTAATTATACTTGAAAAAGCATACAAGTTAGAAATCTCATTATGTGAACCCTTTGAAATCATAACTACGTAAGGGCACAGTTAGTTCAATATGGCAGTCATGAAAAAATGTGTAATTTTCTTCCAGGCCTCGAAAACGAGCAAGATAAATTCCCTTAAGGTGAAACTTTTATAGAATTCTTTCAGTGTAATTTTATTATCTTAAGTGGCCTTCACAAGCACATCAAATGGTTTCTTAATATAAATCAAACCACATAATTACACACAAATAAAACAAATAAATATGACAACCACATAAATAAGATCCATGTAAATCAAGAAGCAGCTGTATAAAGGCTGATGTCAATCTGTGATGGCATATACATTGAAATGTTACTTGCTGCCTAAGGTCAGATTCACTTTCCAAATAACATGATGCAGTATCTCACCTTCTTCTTATTACTAACTGGTTGCTGATCCACTATGACTTGCCCAGGGTTTCTGGGTGGTTGCTTAGGAGCAGTACACAAGTCACCATCCAACTGTGGAGAATTCTTGATGTTGGAAATGTCTGCAATAAAAATACCTTCACAGTTCCAAATATAACAAAACACCATAAAGGGACTGAGGCTGCCAGGGCAGTGAAGATCCTTGGTCTTCTGGTTTGGAACACCATGTAGCCTGATACACGGGTACCAGTACTTGCAGAGAGGAAGACACTACCAATCTACCATATGAGTGGGGCAGCCTGCTTCTTCAAAACACTGATACCGTCTACCAGAGCACATAATCAATACAGAAGACCACACTATGCAACAGAGACCTAATCTGGTTATCCACTGATGACCAATGACGTCTTTGTAGATAGTTTCAATTACTATATTACAAATATAATCATAGAACACTTATAACACTTACTCTTCTACGTTCTCATACCATTTTATTTGCATATAGTACAGTCAGGAGCATTAAACACAGGCTTCTGTTTTACCATATTGATTAGAATCTTCCTCTAGAAAACATAATAATGAGAAATAATCCCCAACAATACTGACAATACTGCAGAAGAAATACGAGGGCTATTCGTAAAGTAACCTCTGCCGAGCTACTGACAGAACAAGATATGAGAAAGAAAATTTCATTATATACAAAAAAATATGTACAATCTTAAGCTACTTCTCAATTTAGTCACTGCTAGAAATGAGGCACTTGCCATTTTGGGGAATATGTTTTGTATGCCCGTGTCAAAGAAGTCTACCACCTGTGAGCTCAGCCACATTTTGACACCCTCCATCAATTCCTCATTACTGCTGAAGCACTGCGATCCAAACCAGTTCTTTGGGTAGGTAAACAGGTGGCAGTTGCTCAGAGTGAGATCAGGGCTGTAAGGAGGGTGGTCAAACAACTCTCAGCTGAAATGCTCCAGCAGTGCTCGAGTGTGAGCAGCTGTATCTGGACGCACATTGTCATGGAGGAGCACACATTTTGTTCTAAATGATCCTACAGTTTTTTAGTGCTTTGCAATACACTTTGGACATTGTGGTCTCTCATGCATGAATTCCACCAGCAGCACTCCTTTCTTATTTCAGAAAACAGTGGTCATCAGCCTTCTGGCAGATAAAATTTTGAAATGGGTTTTAGGTGGCAGAAAACTGCATCAGAGTGTACTCTTTTGATTGAGAAGTCAAACATTCACGATGAGAGAACATGGTACAACATCTATGTGGCAGTTCAGGAATGAAAACAATCACAGATATACATACATGACACATTTTAACTGCACATGTTCAACAGAAGTCCCAGACAGAAAATTCTTTGAATAGATTCCTTACAACTGTGTTTAGGGAGCAATGTCTAACGATGATTCATGCACTGAATGCTTACATGCTAAAAGAGACCGGCCACAGAACCACAACCACCTTCAACCCCATAGCCAACACAATCCTGGCTGCAGCACCACATACTGCACCACCACCTTCCACACGAACTACACACTCTGGATGCAACGTACACTTCCTTGCTCACTTCAACAGCTGAGCAACCATCTCCACAGGGGAGGGCTGATGTGGGAACTGCCCACATTGAATCAAGTGCTAGATAATCAAAGGCTAGGAACCATCTGCTGCTACGCAACAGCTGGGTAAATAGCTGTTGCTAGGTAAAGCCTACAATACATGGCAAAAGCAGGCATCAGGCATTAAGCGACAGATGTGTTTTCTGTAGGTCTAACTCGAGGTTATATAAGTTGATGATACTGCAATAACCCATGTGTCCACCATGACCTTGCGAATCGTAGGAGGTGACGAGAAGGGAAGTCTCAAATCTGAGACAGTAAAACATGGTTGAAAGTCCCAAGGGACTTGGACACGAGAAAGACTGTGCTGGTAAGGGCCAGTAGCATATACAAAAGACAGACCCATCCTCTCATCAGGGAGGCCACCCCCCAAAAAAAAAAAAACAAGACCGTAACTGTCGAACAGTAATAAACATCTAGTCATGAGCTCAACACTAAGACTGACTGACTGACTGACTGACTGACTGACTGATTGAACATCAGCTGAAACGTGACTCTGACTCTGACTAGAGATAATTATAATCATAATTATTATTATTCTTCATCCTGCTTATCAACAACCAGCAACCTTCAATTCTCCAAACAGAAGTCTGTCTGTCTATTCTGTACAACTACAATAAATATTTATATATCAGTTTAATAAGTGGTTGTCTCTACATACAATGACATCCTAGAGAGCTAAGGTCTGATCCACATAGAACAACTTCCTAGAACACTGTCCTAAGCTGTAGCAGATAAAAAGATTATTACCAGAGTCTATGAACAGGCCCAAATCATCCGTCTGAGTTTCTGGAGTACTGGTAGCTACACCTCTTGCGGCAACACTAAGCAATCTCTTAGTTTTCTCCGTACCATTTTCACTGCCAGTACCAGGACCAAACAGCCATGCTTCAGTAGGATTCTCGACACCTAACAGGAGAATGACAATTCGCATTACACTGTACTGTAAATTTTTCTAGATGGTCTACAGAACTGTACAGAGCAAATATTATCATGGTGAAAACATGTTCAAGATCCTAAGGACTACTATGAAGTTACATTATGCATCAGATAAAATACAAACTAAAAACTGGACAGGCCAAGAAGAAGGGTGACATTTATTTTTTTCATTTTCCACCAACCTATAAATTACTCACCTTTATCTATAGTTAGCTTGTCCTTACTGCCCCATAGTGATCCTGATGAATCTTCCAAGTCATCAAACAGACCTTGTCCACCAGAGAACTTCCCATCTCGCTGGCGAAAGAGATCATTACCGTCACCTCCATCCCACTTCACAGTATGTTTATTACCTGTCAACACACAGAATATTTTGACCCTGTATCATCATCTCCATCCCACTTCACAGCATGTTTATCACCTGTCAACACACAGAACATCTTGACCCTGTATTATAAAACTTGGTATTGTGACATGGCATCTGAGAACCATAAACTTCAGAATCCTGAAATCACTGGAATACTGCAGAAGCATCCATTACTAAGCAATGACAAGCTTTAATCCCCAATAGTCACATACACACAACAGCCAAAGTACTCTTGGGGGCCATGCTTTCTCAAATCAAAACCTGATTCAGGAAGAAATTAAGAGGAAACTGAATTCAGGTAATACTTCCTACAATTCAGTCCAGAACCTTTTGTCTTCTCATCTGCTGTCCAAAAATATAAAAATCAGGACATAAAAAACTATAATTTTGCCTGTGGTTCTGTATGGGTGTGAAACTTGGTCTCTGACATTAAGAGAGAAACACAGACTGGGGGTGTCTGAACACAGGGTATTGAGAAGAATATTTGGACTGAAGAGAGATGGAGTGACAGAAGGCTGGAGAAAACTGCATAATGAGGAGCTTCATAACTTGTACTATTCTACAAGTGTAATTAGAATGATCAAGTCAAGGAGAATGTGATGGCTTGGCATGTAGCACGAATGGGGAAGAGGAATGCATATAGGATACTGGTGGGAAAACCAGATGGAAAGAGACTACTGGGAAGACCAAGGCACAGATGGGTGGACAATATTACTAGGGACGTTCCATAAATAATGTCTCCTATTTTTTTGTGTTAATATGTAATGTCTGAGATGGATGTTGGTGGTGTTGTAGTAAAGGCTGAACTGTTAGTTTGGTTGTCGTGCGACAGATAGTGACAGCAGAGCAGTCTACCAAAACGGTGTCTGACATAGAAGTGCGTATGAAACACAGATGTGTTATTGAATTTCTCACTGCCAAACAAATTGTACCCACTGACATCCATCGATACTTGCTAAAGGTGTACGGACACAATACAGTGGATGTCAGCACACTGAGGCGGTGGGTAGCGCGTTTCAACAGTGGCGAAAGTGAAGTGCACGACAAACCACGTCCTGGGCGTCCCTGCTCAGCTGCCACTCCTCACAATGAACAGCGCCTCATCCATACAGATCAGCAGATAACGACCAGGGACTGTCAATTCTGAACGCTACAAAATGACGCTGACTAAGCTGAAAGCCCGCATTTCCCGAGTCAGGCCAAAAAAGCAGATAACCTTTTGCTTGCAACACGATAACGCTAGACCCCATACAAGTTTGGCAACCACTGCGCACATTGCAAAGTTTGGCTGGACTGTCCTACCACATCCACCTTATAGCCCCGGTTTAGCGCCTTCAGACTTCCATCTCTTTGGGCCTAAGAAAGATGGACTACATGGGCAACACTTTCCAGACAATGATGCTGTCATTGCAGCTGTAAGAAAGTGGCTAGCCTCTGCTAGCGCAGACTTTTACGGGCGCAGCATACAGGCTCTTGTTAATCGCTGGCAAAAGTGCATAACGAATGGTGGTGATTATGAGGAAAAATAACTGTAAGTAGCTGAAATCTTGCTCTATTTAACTGCATTATTACGCTTTCTGTATCTGTTGTAGTTTTCTTTAAAAAAAAATAGGAGGCATTATATACGGAACGCTGTAATAAAACGTATCTTAGATTGGATGGGATGGTATGGATTGGATGGATCTGTCTCTGGATAGGGCCCAGTGGAGGGCTCTTGTGAATATGGTAATGAACCTTCAGGTTCCATAAAATGCTGGGAAGTTCTTGAGTAGCTGCACAACAGGCGGCTTCTCAATAAGGTCTCAGCTCCATGAGTGATTCATTGAAAAATGACCTGACAAGTGTTACCGAGTGACCCTAAAAACTGAACAAAGGCTCAACTAGCTCTTTGTCTTTGTCCTTGTTCTCATTTTCATCCACTGTGTCACTATATACAATTCTCCTGTCTTGCTTATACACCACCCCTTCAGCGTTTTTCAAACTACAACCCTTTAGTGTTTTTCAAACTACTTTCACCCCCCAAATGACAAACAACAACAGTGAATGGCAACACAGTAAGCTACTCAGAACAATAACCTGATAACACTCCCAAGCAACAACTGATGGCCTCGTCTGCAGACAACCCCCATCTTCCTATTGTAAAGTAAAAAGAGTAGAGTAAAGCTATCCCTGTACCAGGCCGTGAAGGCCCATAGGGTTGTGAGACGTTCAGGGTCCCACACTATCTAGAAAATCAGCTCAAAGATGGTGGTAAGGCTGTCAGCCTTAAGCGCCGGCCGCGCTTTACTCCCCAGGAAAATTATTTAATTAATTTCTGGTACTCATTTCTGCTAGAGGCTGAGTAAACCCCAAGGCCTAGTGCGGCTGGAAGGATTAGGTCAACTGAAAAAAAATCCAATGACCTCATCGGGACTTGAACCTGCGACCTTCCAGCTTGTAGCACAGCCTCTCAACCAACTCCCTAATGTGATGACATAAAATTTAAAATGAAAAAATGAGGTGCAATGTGAATAGGGGTGCATGTTTCCACACCCACAAGATAATAATAAGCATACTTCTAAGGTAGAATAACAAGCATATTTCTCATGTAAGATAATGTAACTGGAGGTACCTTCAGCTCTTTGTTCAGATACTCCTTCAGCAGCTGCTACACCCAACTTCTGAGCCAGTTCAGCTGCAAAGTTATCATGTATCCCACCAACACCAACGTCTTCTGTAGGTGAGTCTCCACCAAACATGTCACCTACAAAAGCATTAAAAATTATCTTTCATTGTTGACATACTTCCTTCCTGCAATGGCCATACATTTTAAGAAATAAACTGTAAAAATAAAGCAAAGGAGCAGAGACCCCTGTACCTTGTGTAGAATGTTTCTGATTAACTACTTCAGACAGACACAAAAGTCTCATTTATTCCATTTCTTATCGTTTTCTACCAAAATTTTAAAAGTATGAAAAATAATGTGAAAATTCAGTTTTTAAAAAAGATGTCATGCGGCCTAAGATACAAATCATCTAAAATACATAAAACATTTCATTGACCTCCTTTCAAATTCACAAAGAATCAAACTACAATTTTAAAAAAATTAAACATAAACATCTTGGACAAACTCCTAAGGCTCTGTCAATTGTAATACATACGAGTAAAATAATAAATCACAAAAGTATGAAACAGAATTTATCAACTTGCCTTCTTATTCTGTTGAGAATACAGTCCATGCTGTACATTTATTGCTGTAGAAAAACTATTCATTACCACTTTTTTTTTTGTGATCAAGTTTGTCTCTAAATGCTTGTGAACACATTAAAGTGTTCTGCTGCAGCTCAGACAGCCAGTCCTTTATGAACAGCTTCAGCAGCCATAGCAAGATTTGGTATGGATAGTAGTGGGCACGCATACATTATTGCTTCTAGGCATCTGACAACAGAACTTCTGCTCAATATTTTATTCCTTTTACCTTTGCATAATGTTTTGCTCATAAAACATGCATGAGAAGCTTTTAAATAGCTCTGGCTATTTGTTCATAAATTGTAAACAGCAAAAAGAAGCTGCTCTTACTATAACATTGACCTAAATTATATATCTGATTTGACATTTGTACCTTGGGCTGTTACTTAGCCAGAAAACTGCTAACATTTTAACATTAACCTTTATGGATACACAACCTGCTCAATTTCACATTAAATTCCTTAAAATATAAACAAAATATAATATACATTAAGTTTTCATTGAAAAATTCAGAATTCTTAGTCAGTATAAGTAGAACAGATGCTGTAAAACATAAATGCTAGAACTACAATGGACTGATACTGCCTTCCATTGCTTGGTATGATGCAAAACCTCAATGATTGTGAAGCCATCTCTCAATTATAGAACAGAAATTTCCTTTTCTCAATCCAGAGGGATAAGGATGTGTGCCTATCCATCACCCACATTTTATGTCCAATACATTTTCTGTTTAAGTCTACCAGTGTTTAGAGATAACTTAACAAATACAATGTTATTCATATATTTGCAAATTTCCAAGAAATACTTCAAAATATATATTTTTTATTGTTATTATTTGTAAATCTCTTCCCCTTCAATATATGAATAACTGGGAATATACTGTAATCTGAAAACAATGACTGGGAATGAAGATTTCAATCATATCTAAAAACTCTACATTAACATTTGCATACTGATCTTAACAGCCATGGCTGCCGTATATACTGGTAGAGTAGGAAGTAAATTTCATAGTATTGTGACGTATTTGCGCTATGCAGGACACCCCCCCAACCCCCGCCAGAAGTGACGTAACAGCAGAGCAGCTGCGTCAGGCAACTATTGTCGCAGTGACGTAACCACATAGGAGCCACTGCTATGGTAATAGGGCCAGTAAACACCCCCCCCCATGGTGATGTAACAGCACCTCCCACAGTGACATACTAGGGGACACTGCGGTTACTACATGGCAACAGGCAACAGTATAAGAGGCTGGCTGCGTGGCGTGTCAGACAGCGTGGATTGTGAAGCTGCCGAAGCCATTTAGTCTTCGGAGTATCCAATATCAGTTGAAGTCCAGCAGCTATGAGATGAGTTGAGTTGCATCGAGTGAATGGAAGTGACTACAGCAGGAGAAGAAATTGTGATACTGCAGATGGCAGTATTTGGGAAATTGTGAATTGTGTAATTGTAAGAGTGAGTGTAGAATAAATCCGCTAGATCCAAAACGGCGTAAATTATTTGTCGCGTTACATACCCAACACGTGACAGTATCTTAAGGATATATTAGATCTATGGAAAAGAAATATAAAAGAACTGACAGGAAACTTACTCTGAGCTGTGTTAGTAGCTGCAATGGTGTCATCTTCTGCTTTCTTCTGCTTGCCTGGTGCAGGACCCTCTTCAGTATCAGTCTCAGAGCTCTCACCGGCACTGACTGATGTCTGCAGTAATAAATGATGGTTCTGTTATGCCAAATGACCGAATTGCAAAATGTTATCAGACTGTTAAACAAGATGCAATATCTTCATACACCGTTGTTTGTGTCACTGCAGCACAAATATCCAAGTATCAAAGGTGACCATGGCTGTACAGTACTTGTATACAGATAAAATAGACTCAACTTTATTTCTGAATTCTCTCCATACAAAGTTCTCTATACGGCTGGGAAGCCATAAGAAAACTGTGACTGAATGACAGAGACATGAAAAAAAATTATAATCGTTAACAACTAATAAAAATAATAATCAGACAAACAATCATATGGCAGAATACTGTGACATTGCTACTTAAATGATATCCACTGCATGGTCACCCTCAATAAACAAGTGAGCCATCACTAGGCAATAGCTTGCCAATACACCAGCAAGAACTGAGGCACTGTTGGGAACAGTGTTTTACGAGGGTCAGTCAAAAAGTTCCCGGAATGGTGGTACAGCACTCTTAATAGTAGGACATATGGCAACGCTTACCTAATCACCTTCAAAGTGGGACACTTGTGCGCACACACACTTGCTCCATCAATCCTGCCATTGTTGGAAGCAGTGGTGGAAGGCTTCTTTTGGAATCTTCCGGAGTTCAGCCGTCGCATTCGATTTGATGTCCTCCATGGTTGGGAAATGTGTCTCCTTGTAGCCCATTTTCAGAGGAGGGAACAGCCAAAAGTCACTTGGAGCGAGATCCAGAGAGTACGGTGGTTGAGTGATGACAGGAATGTTTTTCTCTGCGAGGAATTGCTGCACAACAAGCGATGTGTGGCTCGGTGTGTTATCGTGATGCACAAACCGCTGTCCCTGCCACTTGTCGCACCACTTCCTCTGAACCGCATCGCGCAACCTCTGCAAAACTTGCACGCAGAAATGGCCAGTAACAGTACCAACTTCTTGCTCCAACTCTGCGATGGTCATTTTTCGATCACATCGAATCAGCTGTCGTGCTTTCCAATCATTTCTTCAGTTCTGGATGTTGAAGGTCTCCCGCTATGCTGGTCATCCCCTAACATCTTCTGCCCATTCTTAAACTGGGAGAACCAGTTGTAAACTGTGGATTTCTTTAGTACAGTATCACCATAAACTTGCTGCAGGACCAATAGCATCTCCGAAGCAGACTGTCTCAATTTGCACATGAACTTGATGTTCGCATGCTGTTCGAACTGCGACATTGCACCGAATGACCAACACTCATATCTAATTCAAACGGAACAGTAACGACACTGCACAGTGAAACCTGTCCAGACCTGTTGCGCCTGTGAGCAGACATGCTGAGCTTCCCACCACAACAGTGTGTGTGCTATCTTATTGCTTGTTCTCCATCTGCAGGGGAATTCCAGGAATTTTTGACTGACCTACGTATATGTGGTCCATAGTGAAGTTATATATGGAACACTCAAGCTTCAGTTGAGTTAGCTGTGAGGCAGTTACCAGCTAGTACAGATGGAGCACAGAAGCAGAGGAGAATCTACTGCTGAGAGCCATTACCAGGCAACGACTGGTGAAGACATAAAAGACTTCATAACTGCTGGAGTACAGTGATTTGTAGAGTGCGTAGATCCATGAAACTGTTATAGTTACCTGTAGTTACAAGTTATAAGAGTTCAATAAATAATTCAAACTGCCACTCCAAACCCTGAGTCCAGTCACTAACACATGATACACTTGTGTCAGAAGCGGGATAGAATTTGATTAACGGGATTGAATTACTGAACTGAATGTTGCATTGTATAGTTATATCGCATACTACAAAAATGGAACAAATAATAAAACGCCTACCGGGCATTACAAACTAAATGAACACCAAGATGGAGGCATGGCTAGAAGAGACAAATGCATGGCGAGATACAATAAAGGCCTGTCTAGGGAAGATAGAGGCCAAAATAAAGGTTGACCAAGAAGAGTGAGAGCTAAAATTAAAATTGGCCTGGAAAAAAATGAAGGATACAGAGATGGAGGACAATCAATAAAAGACAGAGGCTATAGCAAAGCACTATGAAGGGATGCCATAGACAGCAGCCATGCAGCTTCTTACTGCCCTGCAGGACCAGACTTCCAGTATTCTATGAATAAAGATAATGGTGAGTTTGCCGCAGGAGTTTGCCATCAAACAGCCGGCACAGCATGCCTTCCTGCACTATACAAGAACCATGTTCACAGTGACCAAGGCAACTCATTCAGCAGTGGCATAAGAGACCAAGGCATGAAACAGCGGATACTTTGGGAAGGCAAGAAGGCACTCAACAAGGCCCTCAGGCAAATTCTAGAGATAGAAGATGTAAAGCTGGCAGCCAGGTCTCTTATTAGGCTGCAGAAATGAGTGACAGGGCATTGTGGAGAAGCCGGCCTGCTCCCAAATGAAAGAAGATACCACCAACAGCCTACATGCCAGTGTTGGAGCACAGGCCACTTCTGAAACGACTGTCCCCACAAATTGAAAGAATAAATGTCAGTATTCTTATGGGATGCTCGTCATGCAGAGCCTAAAGGAGGGAGCAATCTGACATGACTACTTAAACACTGTCTTTGCATATCTGCTCAATAAGCAAGCCACTACAAGGCAATGGCTAGCCAACACACCAGCAACAATCAAGGTGCTGCTGGAAAGTGTTTTATATGTGGTCCATGCTGAAGTTGTATACGGTGAACTTAAGATGCAGCTTAGTTAGTTGCTATCATGAGTTAGTTGTGAAAATATTCGCCAGTTGGTAAGGATATGTGCATGGAAGTAGAGGAGTATCTCTTGCTGGGAGCCGTTACCAGGCGATCACTGGTGAAGACATAGGAGACTTTATGTTTGCTGCAGTACGATGACCTCTAGAATGCGAAGATCCATGAAACAGTTAGTTACCTGTAGTTACAAGTTGTTAAGTGTTCAATAAATCCAATTACCAATCCAAACCCCTGGTATAGTCACTAACATGTGACATGTTAAACTAATTTAAGGCAATTAGCTGGCAATCTGCATTGAAAAATATGGAAATTGCAAAAATGATAGGGATGAAGGGCAGAAACACCAGAGGCATAAACAAATAGCTGGAAGGCATTCCCAAATCCTTATAACAACACTCAGAAGCAGTCACTTGTCAACTATGCAGATTATGTTCCTGAAAAGCAGTATGGTTGGCAAGACCAAGGTCTTACAGGAAAGTGGGGTTAGAAGGAAAATGGTCACTGTTAACAATCAACAAAGCTATGCATTTTTAATAAACACAGAAGGTACTAACAACATTACCCACAAAAAAAAAAGACAGTAATATCAAAAATGGGTTCCAGATGCCATTATAACCCTTCCCCACAGCAAATGTATGTAGATCTCTTGGTCTGGAGGCCACTGGTGTTTTTTTTGGGGGGGGGGGAGAGTAGAGATACACAAACTCAAATACTGTGACTGATAAAACTGACTACAAATGGGAACCTGTGGATGCCACAACCAAGGTTCGTGAGGGACTGCTGAACATCTTTTTCTTTTTCATATAGGATGTCTGTAATTGGTTTGTTCTCGTCTTAATTAATTTCACTTTATTAGTTACAGAGCTTATTAGTGTCAAATGACAACACAAATTGGAAAGGGCCTGGAAGGAAGTAGTCAAGGCATAGTCTTAAAGGACTGAAGTAACAAGAAGAAATCACAGTAAGGAAGCTGTCTCTAGGATAAGATTCAAACTTTATATCATCTAGTTACTGGGGATTTTGTGAGACCAACAGGAAGCTTTCACAGCTCAGTCAAGAACCATCTGAAAAAAATATATGGTCATGAGTCCTGCAAGGCCCAAAATCAAGAATGACTGTGCTGACAAAGCCAGCAGCATTTTACCAGACCAGAGTAGACCAGGACCGCTGTCACTGCTTTGTATTCAGCCACCAGCCAGCAAGGGCAGAAACCACTGAGTATGAAAGCAATAAATCCCCATTGTCACAAGCTTCCTCATGCAACGAGTGGCGAAGAAATAACTAACACATGACAATATCTTCACCTCTCACCCCTTCCATCCTTTCCCTTATCCCATTCATTCCTGTAACTCCTACCCTCCTTTCTCCCACACACCTCTTCAGTCCCTTTTATATGTGGGTTACTTCAAAAGCCATGGCAACTAATTTTTTTTGGGCAAACACATTACAGTGAAGAAAGTTCAAAATACACTTATGAAAGGGCATGATATACCCCTCCGACTGGCTAAGTCAGATCAGGTAGATGTGAAGGGGCGTAGGTATAATAGGCAAGAAAAATTGAACATTATGGAATGACTGTTTTTTTATTCTTTAATCCTCAAAAAATTCAATTGTGATTAACAAATAAAAAATTCAATGTGAGTTAAATCTGAATTCTTACATTATGACTAGCAACCTTCAAAGTAGTCTCCAAGTGTACCAAGTACGCGCTGCCAGCGATGAGGAAGACAGCGAATACCATCAGCTTCACCATCTCCAAATCTTGTCATCTGACGCCAAACTGAATTGGAAATGTCCTCTTGTGTATGAAAGCGTTTCCCTCACAATGGCTGTTTCAATTAGGGTATTAAGTCATAGTCACATGGCGAAAGGTCGGGTGAACATGGTGGATGGTGTAGTACTTCCTATCCCCAATGTCATAAATGGTTGACACTGTTTGCTGTGTGGGCGGTTGCACTGCCGTGAAGGATGACAGCATTGTTAAGCAGTTCAGGACGTTTATTCCTAATTGCACAATGTAAGTTATTCTGCAGAAAGAACTCGTAATATGCTGCACTGACAGTTTAACCATGTGGAACAAAATGACACAGAATAACTACCTGGACATCGTATGCTAAAATGACCATTAACTTAACAGTGGATGGGTTTCAACGAAACTTGTGCTTTCACGGCAAGTCTGGATGTCGCCACTCAGCGGACTGCCGTTTTAGCTCAGGTTTATATGCCCTAGCCCATGTTTCATCGATGGAAATCATCCAGTTCAAGAAACTGTCTCCTTCAATTTCATATCGTTCGAGGTTCACACGGCTTGCTTCATAATGTGTCCACTTCTGAACCTCGTTTAATTCGTGTGGCACCCACTTTGCTGCAATCTTGCGCAGGTGTAAGTCTTTTCATAAAATTTGATGCAGTTGCCTGGTCAATCCCTGTATGTCTCTCTAACTCCTTCAGAGACCAGCACCTATCTTCCTATACGCACTGGGCGATCACGGCACAAGAAACATTGGTACGAACGGACACAGGGCGTCCACTACGTTGCAAGTCAGCACTTGCTTCTCTTCCACGTTGGAATGCTTCTATCCACCTTGCAACAGTTCTGTATGGTACAGCACAATCACCCAGATCCACAAGCTCTGAGTGACATTCAGTCACATTTCTGCCGCGAAGCACTGCTATTTTTGCGTAACAATGCTGTTCCAGCCGGTTAATGTTCATTCTCGAATAAAGTTATGATCACACTGAATTCGCGCTGGACTCGCTTCGTTGTCCTTGGACTTCCGCATCATCTAGCGGCATCATTAGAAATCAGACGTTGCTGTCTCTCAGCGGCAAATTTGGAAATTCTGGTCAGAGCTCTCAAAATTTCGGAAAAATTATGTTGCCATGACTTTTGAGTAACCCACGTATGTTAATTTGATCATCATTTCTCTCCTTGTATCACAGCAACAGCAAAAGGAAGTCTGGGTTCTCTGCATATATTAGCAAAGTGCTACAGCAGAATTGTAAATTTTCCAAGAGCATTACACAATTTAACCAGTATCTGGAAGATGAGCTCTCCTTTTGTAACCCTGTATCCTTTTGTCTTAACATAGATATGTGCAATACAAATAGATCACACATCTTAAATTTANACGGGTGTCTGCAAAATTTGTTCCTCGCTTGCTCGGAGATGACCAAAGAGAAAACCGCGTGAATGTTTGCCGCGACTTGAAGAGTGAAGTGCAGATTTCCCTAACAGAAAGCAAAATTTCACGCACACTCTTTGTTCCTTCTGGTCGGCCATCTCACTAATCGCCAAAGGGTTGAAACAGGAACGCACACAACAGAGCACCACAGACAAACCACTTAAATCAGACTGACACCAGCTCACTAACAGTCGCGGGAGACCCCCAGCTAACACCACCTAGCAGCACAACTCGTAACTACAAAGCATGCGCGCACAACAGGTCGTTTCCGGTTATTTTTGGGTCCCCCTTCGTATACAGCATATATATGACTGCCTACTTACTCTCATCCTTTTTTTTGACATGTTCTTGTGCTCAATATCCATCTCGCTCTCACTGTCACTGGACAGAATAAGATTCTTATTAACACCATCTTCCTCCGAGTCACTTAGTGAGCCCAGACCAACATAGTCATCTTCCATGAACTGTCGGCACCCAATAAGGTATGGCAATGCTCGACTCAGGTATGGATTACGAGGCTCCAGCACTAGGCGTCCTCCACTACTGGAAGAAACAGCATGTTATGCCAATTTTCACTTTATCTGGAATGATCAAGTCAAGGAGGACAAGCTGGAGAGGGGATACACCATGCATGAGGAGAAGAGGAATGCATATAGGGCTTTGGTGGGAAAGCTGGAAGAAAAGAATCAACTAGGAAACCTTAGACATAAGTAAAGAATAATATTAAAATTGATCTTAGAGAAACAGGTTTGGGGGTGAGGTTGACTCTTATTCATCTAGCTCAGGACAGGGACCAGTGACACGCTCTTATGAACACAGTAACGAACTTTCAGATTCCATAAAATTTTGGAAGAATCTTGAGCAGCTAAGAAACTGGTAGCTTCTCAAGAACAGCTCCATGGAGTTCATACATAGTCAAATAACAACAGAGAATAAGCAGCGGTTTGTGTTACATGAGCCATGACAGCTCCAGAAATAACAGCTGCTCTAGTACCTGCAGTATGACAATCTGAAGTTAATGTAACACAAAAAAAAAACTTCTTCACTCCATGGCCAGCAAACTGCCAGGTCAGAAACCAGAGACAAAGACCAGAACTTGAAGTGTGTTGCCTGGTCAGGGTTATCACACACCTTGAGGGGATCATAATAAATAAGTGTATGGCAATGGCAGAATAATGATTACCAAAGGAAAGCCAAAAAAAACTCGAAGAACCTACTACAGTGTCACTCTGTCCATCACGAGTCTCATATGAAGTCACATGGTACTGAACATAGGACTCCTTGCTGAGAAGCCACTGTTTAAATGCCTGAAATCTATCCCAGTTTATTTAATGATATGGGATCAGATAAAATGGTTATGTTTCATCAAATGAGAAATGAAACATGTGGCTGACTTGGCTATCTAGTATCCACACTACATAGTATGAGATACTAACAGCATCATTAAATGAAACATAAATAAAACACCTAGCACTGAACAATCATTATTTCAACTTTATAAATATAAAATCCCTGTGAACTCTACATCAAAATAACCTTTTACACTTACGACAAGAGAAAAAAAAAGTAAAGCTACCAGCGTAACAGGCCATGAAGGCCCACAGGGTTGTGAGATGTTGCGGGTCCCATATTATCTAGACAATCGGCTCAAAGATGGCGGGAAGGCTGTCAGCCTTCGCGCCAGCTGCGCTTTACTTCGCAGGAAAACTAATTAATTCCTGGTACTCATTTCTGTTAGAGGTTGAGTCGACCCCAGGGCCATAGTGCGACTGGAAGGAAACTAAAAAAATCCAATAATATCAGGACTTGAACCCGCAACCTTCTGGATTGTAGCATAGTGCCTCAACCAATTATGCTACCGCTGAAAATGACAATGCCAGAGTATATAAAGAATTAACTGAAGATACTGTGATATGACATCTAAAATTTGGAATAGTTGAACAAACAGATTCGGCCACTGCTAGGCAATGGAGCGATAAACACATGTGTGCGGCAGCGAATAAACATGGAACAATAGATGGATGAGGTGCTTTCTTGACTGTCACTGCTAGGCAACTGTGCGATAAACATGCGTCCATGGCAACAAACAAACATGCAACATTGGACAAGCCACTGGTAGCAGTGACTTCTACACAATTCATTCCAAGGTTATATAAGTAGGACCAACTAGACAATCTGTGGAGTCAACAGTGTGTCGGAGGTTGCAGCCAGTGCTTAGCAGTCAGTGTGAAGCTGCACTGTTAGCAGCCCTTACCTAACAACAACTAGTGAACAAACAGAAAACGTTACATGTGCTGTAGTTAAAGTGATCTTTGAAGTGTGTAAAACAATGAGACTGTTACAGTTATTTGTAGTTACGAGTTATAGGCATTCAATAAATCTGATTATCAACCCAAACCTCATGTCTAGCCACTAATGTGATAATATTTTAAAGTCAGTACCAAAACATAAGTTATCTCACCTCTCCTCATCTTCACTGTCACTTGCTGGGACCTCAACAGAGTCAAACATGTTGTCCAGCACCGACACGCCAAGGGCTAGAGCTTCATGTATCCGTGTCACTACTTCAGCTTCTTGTTCTTCCTTTGATTTGGGCTGCTAACAACATATAAAAATATGAAATTTACATTATACTAAGACAACAGGGAAAGAATATGAGCACTTATAACAAGGAAACAGTTTCAATATTCATGCAAGACTTGAGGTTCCCACAGCTGTGGTTATTCAAAGTTCTGTCTTCTAAGACATAATACCATGTAGTCCAGTGAAAGTCAACTAACATTTTGAAGAAACATATCACCTCCATCTTCAGGCTTTAGGGTTGAAGAGTATGCCAAGCAACAAACCAGTATTAAGAGGTAGCTAGTTACGTTCTTGCTCAAATGTTACTGAGCCTAGTATACACATCTCGTTAAACTGTGGGGCTACAGCACCATTTACTCATATAATTAATGCAACCCATCCTTTATTAAATATTTCTGAAGAAAAACAATTAAATGTTATGTTCTTACTCCCATATTTTAACAATAAATAGGTACTAATGTAAGTAATCAATCATGTAATCTGTGTGCGCTTACTCTCAGCTGCCCGATTTATACATATAAACACAGGGGTTGAGCAAAATAATGAAAACAGTACAGATACTGTACACATTTCTTTATTAATATAGTGTTGGGCCACCTTCTGCCTTCAATACAGCCACAATCCTTCTTGGAATGGATTCGTACAAGTTTCAAACAGACTATAGTGGAATTTTATACCATTCTCCTTGAAGAACATCTTCAAGTTGTTTGAGAGATGCTGTTCCTCACTCTAGTCTCCAAAAATGACCAGAGTGATTCAATGATATTCAAATCTGATGACTGTGGTGGCCAGAGAAGATGTAGAAGTTCACCTTCATGCTCTTCAAACTGTGACTGATGTGCATGGGTGCAACATTTTCTTGGAAAACTGCACTTTTGTTTGGACATAACATCTGGATCATGGGATGCACCTGATTATCCAGCCTGTCCACGTACTCACTTGCGGTAATTCAGGCATGATGGGTAGTAATGGAACCAACAGAATACCATGGTATTCCTGCCCAAACCACCATACAATCTCCTCTGTCCTTCACTGTTGGAGCCAGGCATTCCAGATTGTAGGCTTCCTTGTATGCCCTCAAAACAAACTCTTCCTGATGTAGGGAACAGCATGATGGACAACTCAACTGACCATATCACAGGTGCATTTCTAATTGTACGTGTATTTCTAGTTGTCTGATAGTTGTTACACAGCTGTTTATGTATCTGAGCATTTCCATTTCTAGCAGGGACGTAGTCTTAAAACAGTCCAGCAGGATTCGTTCGGTTTATGAACAAGGAATGCTTTCCTGGGAGAGGTTGTTAGCCTTTACCCAACCCCCTTAACTTAGGACGGCCCATGTTTTTCAGTCCCTTAGGGGGGCTGGCATCACCATGCATAAAGAGACTAGTCTACCCTTGGTTTTTCTGTAGGGGTTTTCCTTCCCTTAGCCACAGATTCCAGTTTAAAGGCACCAGACACTCTCCTTTCACCCTGCTCTGTCTCCCACATGTGCTCTCACCCAGAGGTCATCAGACAGCAGGGGAGCTAGGATTTGTGGACAGAGCCCTACTTAATAGGTGGCGTTCTGGTACTCAACAGGGTGCACCTACTGGCATCAGTGCGCCCCACCAGAGCCATTTACTAGCCTCTGACCCCCTTACAACCATATATTCACTCATTCATGGAGCTGTGCCCTTCCTGAGAAGCCACCAATTGTGCAGCTACTCAAGAATTTCCCAGCATTTCATGAAACCCGAAGGTTCATCACCGTGTTCAGAAGGGCCCTCCACTGGTCCTTTACCTAGAGCCAGATCAATCAACTCTTATACAATCCCATCCTATCTCTAAGATCAATTTTAATATTGTCCACCCACCTATGCCTTGGTCTTCCCAATGGTCTCTTTCCATCTGGCTTTCCCACCAATATCCTATATGCAGTCCTCTTCTCCCCCATTTGTGCTACATGCCCTGCCCACCTCAGGGTGCTACTCAGTTGTAATTTGTGTATGCACCATAACCACGGCACCAGAAATACACTCACGCACTTGCCACTGGCAAGTTACAGAAAACCACAGATGAGAACAGAAACACCTATATGACACAACCAAAAAGTGAGTTTTGTTATAATGCCGGAAGATGATAAGTTGCATATCTGAAGCACGGGCATAAACATATAAAATATTAGTTCCAACTAGTTTTCTTCTCTTCTGTTTTCATAACAACTTGGTGCAATGATAGTGTAAGTGTATTTCTGTGAGAGATAAACTGATGAGAAATATTATAATACAACATTACTGCTCTAACCTTTACCTCTTCCTCCTTCTCTTCTGAAGGCATTTCCTCCTTCTTCTCCTCCTCCTTATCATCATCATCATCATTATCATCATCATACACTCTGTTTTCCAAGAACTGAGTGTCTGATAAGCAAAGGAACTGACTCGTCACATTGCTCACATCCGTTGAAGTAGCCCTCAGCTGTTCCATGAGTGAATCTAAAGTCACTTCCATTACATGGGTCTGTGAAAGCAGGTTCTGAAATGCAAAACATTTACCGTGTTAATATTAAATAACTCAGAGAAATACTTCTTCCCCCTGTTCAAAATGTTGTGGGAATCTAAACCAAGTTCACCATTCTCATCTTTCACAAAGTTACTTCTAGGTTGGTAAACAATATTAAATTCATTTATTCCTCTATATAGGTCTCTACTGTTCTTGTTCTTACTGTTTGCTACAAACTCATTAATTTTGTCATCCACATATTCTTTTTTTTATTCCTGAAATGCCTGCTGGCTTCACAGCTTATATTATTCAGATTATCCCCATTTATTATGTTTGGCTCCCATAACCACTTCAAATTGGCTTCTTTCCTTTGATCTAATAATTCTGATCATCCTTCAATGAATCATTGCTTATGCTTCTTCAACTCATAATAACCCAGTAAAAATATGCATCCTTGTGCATCATAAATGCAAAAAACTCATATTACATAAAATAACAGACTACTACTATAGGCTGTGTTACAAAACTCTCACCTGCAAATCATCTTAAAACAATGGTAAATGAAAGCTGGATTAACTATTATTGTTTCAACATATTAGCAACATACACACTGAGAATACCTGAAGGCAATGTCATTGAAAAACACACAGTCATGCACACGTGTTAAAACACTTAGCTTCTAGCATCACTTTTCCTGGTGCAAACATTCAAACTTTTGGAATCAAAGAACTGTTTGCTTAGTTCGGAACAGAAGCATTTTTCATTTAGTATGTCTTCACGTTTCTAATCCTGTACTGTCAATGCTTTTAGACCTGGCATTTGGGTAGCATGTGAAAAAAGTACAGTAAGAAGTAAGAAGGAATGATCTGTAATGGCACTGTGGGAGGGAGGAAGGGTGATGCACTGTAACTAAGATAATCCTTATCTCAGTTAGTGGGCTTGACCATCTACACTGTGCATTCTACTGAGAACAGTTAAGTCTAATAACACAGACACTGCAAATGTGAGATGCAAAAATACTGAGGTCACACTTTTTCCAAGAGAAGTACTGATCAGCCTTTAGTCGTGAAGTAACAGGTGTAACCAAAAGATATAAAGGATAAAATACTGTAACGTGTATAGCTACATAATGACTCAGTAAACACATTAATATGCGGAACAATAGAAGCTTTATCTCAGTGAGCGAAAGTTTATTGCTTGTTGCTAGCCAACAGACAGCACACCAATGAAGCTGCTGGGTAGGAATCACGTTACTTGTTTTCTATAGGTACATGCCAAAATTTTATAGGGGACAACAAAGGTCGTTTCCAGTCAGTCATAGGCTGGAGATGCGAAGTAGAAGCTACATGGCAGTCGAGATTACATGGATGAGAACAGAGCATGTCCTTCATGAATTGTGAAGATTAGCTGAGTACAGATTAAGACAGAGGAGTACAAAGTGACTGAAGACAAAAAGCCCTCTGAGTGTGTGTGCGTGCGTGCGTGCGTGTGCGTGCGTGTGAGAGAGGGAAACAGAGGGACAGAGAAACAATGACAAGAGTTCTCAGTTCTTGGTGGAAGATAGCCGAGGGAAGTTTAATGTGTGATTTGGAAACTTCATGTGTGCTGTTGTGCAATGATATCTGGAGTGTGACTGTTATAGTTCCTGTGTTTTAGTTATGGTATCTGGAGACCAGAATATGACAGAAGGTGGAAGAAGAAGGTGAAGTGATTTGGCAGTGAATCAATGTGCTTTGGAGAACAAAGCAAAGTTACGCAGAGAGGGACTGTTATCTGGAGGGAGTTGAGTGTGGGAACTGTTATTATCAAGTGTAATTGTAATAGTGACATGAAATAAATCGATCCATCAATCCAGAGAACCCACTAATTACTTGTCCCGTTACCAGGTTATATGACAATATATTTACATGATTCTGTCTGTTTCATCCCCATTATAACAATATAGCTTGACACTGATGTTTTTTAATTTTCATAAATGGAACAAGTACCTTCCATGTTTATCTCGAAGCCATATGCTTTTGGGAAGGTTTCAAATGCTGTCCAACATTCTTATGTACTCGGGCACAATTCACTGATGCCTATGGAGGTGCAGGCGCCACCACACACACTACTACTAGNTAAAATTAAAAATCGGCTCAATTATATGTGGTTACGGAGGGCGCCAGAAAAATATACCACAGGGCTGATATAAACTATATGTATAAGAATCATTATTCTGTGAAAAACTGAAGATATGAAGAATGATGTCTTCTGGGATGTGGCACCATGCAGATCTTGTGTGAATCAACATTTTGGAAGAATGTGTCGCCTCCATCTTCAGGGTAGAAAAATCGACAAGCGAGGAACCAGTGTGAGCATGTGGCTAGCAGACTGCGCCACCAGTCGAAAACACCCAGATATATAAGAACAGAGAGAAGGAGAGTGGGCCACATGGGAAATCAATAGAGGAGAGTGGTAGGGTCAGTAGAGATCAGGAAGGCCAGACGAGCAGGTAGCAGAAGGCAGGCCACAGAAGGTAGAGGAAAATTGTTGGGGGTGGGGAAAAGCCAGGGCTACCAAGCAAGCATTGACCGAGTAGCCTCAGAGCTACAGCTGCTGAGCACATATTACTATGCACAGCCTTGTAGATCTGGCGTCATGCTCAGAAGGTTTCTTGAGGGTTATGAGAGGTGACATGTTCCTCCGAAACGTCGGTTCACACAAGATCAACATGGTGCCATATCCCAGAGGATGACATTCTTCATAGTCATGCTGTGAAAACCTCAAACCCTACATGTCTGAAGATATGTCTACTTAAACGGCTTTGGAAAATAATATCTACAACGAAGTTAATACTAAAGCTATAATAAGGATGAAATGTATAATTAAATGCATATTTGGTTCACACCACAAGTTTCAACAGATGCAATTCTTCACAAACTTCAATTTACCTATTTTACACAGACATATTTTAAGAAACTGCAACAGACAAGTTCCACATCTGGAACAGTATAAATGTTTTATGCATTTTCAAATGACAAGTGAAAGGAAGGACACTACACCTTTCACAAGAACAGTTCATACCTGAGAAAACTGTTGGAGGTGTCTCAGCAGGCCTGCATCTCCAGCCAAGTTCCAGCCTGCACTCTGCTGCCGCATCTCGTCTGTATTCCATGGCCTTTCCCATGATTTCACAGGATCCTCTGAATCCTCCTGAAAACAGCATATATTGTTACCGAGAGAATGAATGACTTTAAAAGGTCAAAATGAATAACACACTGTTGTCAAGAGACTACATGATATTTTGTCAAAATGAACCATGCACACTGTTGCTGACAGATTGAATGACATTATGATGTTAAAATGAATAGCACACACTGCTGCTGAGATACTGAATGAGACTGTATAAAAATGAATAGTGTGCACCATTGTTAACAGACTGAATGACATTACTGTGTCAAAATGAATAGCACACTGCTTCTGAGACTGAATTACACTACAGCACAATGAATAGCACACCCTGCTGCCAAGACAGTGAATGGCATTGTGACATCAAGATGTTCAGCACACACTGTTACCATCAGACTGACTAGGATGTCAAATGAAAAGTACACACTGTTGCTGTGAAACTGAATTATATTGTATTATAACAAAAGGAATAAAACATAGAACATGTGAAAATGGAAGTTATGGAAATAAAAATAAACTTCACAAAACTGAACACTTACACACTGCCAATATATATATAAAGAATTTAAATATGGGAAAATACCGACAAGATTATACACGCTATAAGAAACGGGTGGCGCATGCACGGGGACTGTAATAAGTAACACTGGTCCAAGTACAGGTAATTATGCTTCTAATGAAACTTTTCTCATGCTACTTTCCCAAAGTGGGAAATTTTGATTTGTTTCGTTTTGTTTCATCATGGTCCGTCACACTAACAATATTATGAAAGGTTAAGTAATTCGGTCCAGTGCGACTGATGGAGTTCTTTCTCCTTTTTACTATTTTATCCTTAACATGTTTTGGTCTAATAGACCACGCATGTCCAACACGTCAATTGCGATCAACCGGTCGATCACGGGATGATTTTTGGTTGATCTCATAGGCCTATAAGGAAATTATACGTGGAAAGCATGTAAATTCACTTGTAATATAATATGATTATATTCAGATTTTGAAGGGAAAATATGTGTTAAAGTAGTCTGTACTTTCAATGTACATGGTGCAATCCAAAAGTTCCCGAAATATATTAATAAAAACTATTACATCTTACCTAGATCTTATTCTGCACCATCATCTTCAAAGTAGTCCCCTTGGGAGCGCATACACCGATCCCAGCGTTTCTGCCACTTTTCAAATGCATCCTGGAAGTCTTTCTTTTTAGGGTGTTTAGTATCATCTGCGTTTCCGCTTGAATTTCCTCAACTGTATCAAAGCTTTGCCCCTTCAACTTGATTTTCATCTTGGGGAAGAGAATGAAGTCACGTGGAGCTAAGTCTGGCGAGTACGATGGATGCGGAACAACTGCCATTTTGTTTTTAGCCAAAAATTCCTGCACAATGTAAGCCATATGCGGTCGTGCATTGTCATGGTGGAGTACCCAGTCATTCATGCACATCAACGTTGTCTCCTCATGTCCTCCCTCAAATGCCTCAGAACATCACGAAAGAACTCTTTATTGAGTGTCTGACCAGGAGGGACGAACTCCTTATGAACAATGCCATCAATATCATAAAAACAGATCAACATGGACATAATGTTGCTCTTGACTTGTTGAGCTTTTTTTGGCCGAGGTGAAGAAGGGCTCTTCCATTGCGACGATTGCTGCTTGCTTTCAGGGTCGTAGCCATAAACCCAACTTTCGTCACCAGTGACAACCTTCGAAAGAAAGTTTGGATCCTCTTGAAGCTGTTGCTGAAGTTCCCTGCAGACTTCCAAGCGATGCTACTTCTGTTCATTTTGCAGCAGTCGTGGCATAAACTTCGCCGCAATCCTCCTCATGTTCAGTTCCTCTGACAAAATTTGTTGACACGTACCATAACTTAGTCCCAAGGTGCTACAGAGGTCTTGGATGGTCAGTCTACGATCTTGCAGAATCAGATCCCTAACTTTCATGACATTTTCTGGTGTTTTGCCCGTTGACGGCCGTCCCGAACAATCATCATCATCAGTCTATGTTCGGCCATTTTTTAAAACGCTTATACCAGTTGTAAGTTTGTGTCTGGCCTAAACTGTTTTCACAAAAAGCTTGCTTCAACATTTGGTGCATTTCTGCAACGGTTTTCCCAAGTTTGAAACAAAACTTTATACAGACACGCTACTCTCTCAGATCATCCATCGCAAAACCGCAAACTCACAGAAACACAACAATGGAAATACGTTCACCAACAATAAACCCAACCACTCAACTCGATGCCGCTTGCCACACTGATTCAAGAAGGATATGTGAGGAGACAACTAGCAGTATTTCAATGTACTCATAACCATTCGCGCGAAAAATTCAAATTTCGGAAACTTTTGGATTGCCCCACGTATGTTGCTTTTACAACAACATCGTGTGTCATGTTATTTTTACCAATATTTTGCTTAAAGCGAGGTATGACGATAGGAGGGGATGGTAGATTACTGGCAGTTTTGACACTAAAAAGTCAATCACAACCTGTTTGATGTTGGACATGCCTGTTATAGACCATCTTCAGAAGGATATCAATACAATTAGAAACCACTATTACAATATGTTTTGTGAATATTAATACAGACATACAATGTTATCATAATACAATGAGTACAAAATGTAATGTTTTTAACAACTACAGCAGCTTGCACTAATATGTTAAAATGTTTATAAATTACAATTAGTATGTTTAGAAAGATTTTGTTAACATTTTTAAACCAAACTGGATTGTGTCCTTTTTATTTCTTCTCTTTGAAGGAAGTCAAGCATCTACCACCTTCTTTTTCTGTTGCTTGGAGAATAGGATTCTTCAGTGTCGTTCTGTGATGTTACAGGCGCGCTGTGTTGTTATTTTGTTTGTCAAATGGATTAACATTTGTTCCTGTCATTTATATCTGTCAGAATCTGTAAGAATTGTATGCCAACTTAAATATTTTAGGTTTCACTGGTAAGAGTGTAGAAAATGGGTATGTATGTTGTTTGTAGGTCTTATTGTAGAAGCTTTCTATGTAGTAAGCCTGGTTGTGAAGCCCAACGACAAGTTTCTATCTGCAATAAATGAATATGATGTATGGGTTGTGGTGTGTGGATATTGGTATGCTATTCACATGATATGTATCTTTATATGATTGTACAATATGGTGTGTTTTCCTTGTCTGGGTGTGTATACATTCTGTGTCTTCTACACTGAGCGATGGTTCAATACAGATTGTCAATATTTAAAAGAAAATCAGTAGAATTCATGAAACAATTAGAAAACTGGTTCCTAACAAATAATCTCATAATAAATACTGAAAAGACTAAAGCAATAATATTTCAAAGAAGAGGATCTAGTTTAACTCATAGAACCATTCTGTACTTAAAAATAAAGAAATAACTTACTCATCAAATTTAAAAATTTTAGGTATTTATATCAAAAACAATTTTATCTGGGCCACACACATACAATATCTTTGCCATAAATTAAACAAAGCTCTTTATTTGATTAAATCCATATGCGACTCAGTAAGTTTACCAGTACTATGAAATGTCGTCCCATGATCGACCAGTCGATCGCAATCGACGCGTTGGACATGCCTGGTCTATAAGACCAAAACATGTTAAGGATAAAATAGTAAAAAGGAGAAAAAACTCCATCAGTCACACTGGACCGAATTAATTAACCTTTCATAATATTGTTAGTGTGACGGACCATGACGAAACAAAACGAAACAAATAAAAATTTCCCACTTTGGGAAAGCAGCATAAGAAAAGTTTTATTAAAAGCATAATTACCTGTACTTCGACCAGCGCTGCTTATTACAGTCATCATGCATGCACCACTCGTCAGTGTAGTTCACTTATAAACCCTCAGCCAGACAATGGGAAAGCGCCTCGCTTCCTTGTTGCCCAGTCATGTATACCGATTGCCTAGCAACAGTTGATGCATGGGCTTGTCTGTTGAGTGATGTCACAGCCTCGCAGGGAAGGGTGTTTACCGAGTGTTGCATAATGATAGGAGTGGGGATACGTGACGTCACTTGTGGAAACGCAGAGTTCACGTGACCCCTACTTCCTGTTTCGCCATCCACATCACAATATATATATATATATATACACACACACATGAGATCTTATACTTTTTAAAAAGGAACAAGATCTACATAACTCATTATTCTGACATTTGCAAGTGTAACACTAAAGGAAAACAGGATTTGTATGTACAAACAGGATTTGTATGTACAAACAAGCGACACTGTTCATTGTAAAATAAGTGTGATTAGCATGGGAATTAAGTTACATAACAGCTTTCCCCCTGAATTAAAAAGAATTTCAAGCTTTTAGAAATAAATTAAAAAGTTATTTATTACAAAAATGCTTTTATTCTCTGAAAGAGTATTTTAGTAACAATGATGGATGGTAGTCTAGTGGCTCAGACTGGTTTTGATGTGGTGTGTGTGAATACAGATGGTGTAAGTGTGTTTCACTTAGTGGAGGGTGGAGTCAAACTGGATCCACTTGGCACAGAGGCCACTGAGTTTGCCTACTGTACCTGCCCCAGGTGATTATGATGATGGAGAATTTGGTGGAATGAAGATTGGCAGGGGAAACTGAAGTACTCGGAGGAAACCTGTCCCAGCGCTGCTTTGTCCATAAATCCCACTTGGCCACTTTGTCCATCACAAATCCCACTTGACCAGGAAGCCAGCAACTAACTGCTTGATCTATGGCACAGCTGCTTGATCTATGGCACAGCTAAGTATATGTTGCTTTATATTGGATTGTTTGGGATTGTCATCCGCAGCTGCTAAGCTTCAGTGGGGGGGAAGATGATCCTAAGATGACTGTATTGTTCTCAGTCTTGTGTATCATTTTGTACATTTTTAAGAGTTGCTGACTTGTAGTGTTTTAGATGGTTTAAACTGACTTCTCCAATTGTACTTGTGTAACAGTTTATGGATGTAAATAAATTATGAATTATGAAGATCAGTAATTAATGACATTGATTGTAAAAAGGATAATTGTGGTAGAGGAAACATACACATTATACAAATAAAGTATAGCAGACTGAAATGCCAAAGGCATGTTATCTCTGTCTTTTACACTGTAATTAAATTTAGGCTGCCAATTTACTTCGTTTGTCAGCTTTCCATACAAGCGATGATGAATTCAAAGTCCCAACATACTAACTACACAGTGCATGGTGCAAGAAATGTTGACAGTTGTATGAATGATTGAATGTATAAGGGGTGGGCCTTCTTGGCCCTTGCACCGCGACCTACAGTGGTCTATTGCGCTTGATGTTGTATTCAATCTGTATTGAACCACCGCTCAGTGTAGAAGATACAGAATGTATACACACCCAGACAAGGAAAACACACCATATTGTACAATCATATAAAAAGATACATATCATGTGAATAGCATACCAATATCCACACACCACAACCCATACATCATATTCATTTATTGCAGATAGAAACTTGTCGTTGGGCTTCACAACCAGGCTTACTACATAGAAAGCTTCTACAATAAGACCTACAAACAACATACATACCCATTTTCTACACTCTTACCAGTGAAACCTAAAATATTTAAGTTGGCATACAATTCTTACAGATTCTGACAGATATAAATGACAGGAACAAATGTTAATCCATTTGACAAACAAAATAACAACAATCAAGAAACTCCCTCCTCCTGTGGAACTTGAAGGTACATTACCAACTTCACAACCAATGGACACTCCAGAACCATATCTTCACATCCTTTCACATCCTAATTCTCTAAGATCCATTTTAATATTATTTTCCCACCTACACATTTCCAGAGTCGTTTCTTTCCTTGGGGGTTTCCAATAGAAATCAATTATGTATTTCTCATTTCACCAGCATTAAGTAATCCTACTCGAATTATTACGTTTACTGTCTTGAAAGTGAGTAACAGAATCTTCGCTCACTGCAGTAACTTCATAAAATGAATACTGCTAACATCACAGCCAAAATGAAAAACCATACTGCTCTACTTTGTCTACTTCTCGTTAAATTTCCTATTACTGGAGTTCGAATAAAATAATTCACAAAAGTATGAAAATACCTTCACATCGCCAATGTTCCGCATCATCTTGCCATTTCTGACAGAACGGACGATTAGAACTGCTATGGGCGATTAAACTGCATGACAACTGCCCGATCTATTTACGATTACAAACCTACGTAATGACAATCCGGATCAATGCAGTAATGACGGTAGAAAGAAGTCACAAAAACATTTTCAACCACATTTGGAGCCCTAAACAAAATGTTGTTTGAATAGCCTGTAGTTGAAAATATAGTTATTTATAGCCTATTTTCTTCCTCCGCAATAACTTCACGCTTCTTCGATTATTAGCGCATATCTCAATAATGCACTCACAATAACAACGTTCCAAACCGCGCACTTACACGGAGCACTAAATTACTTATCGTATACAGCACTCGTGATCGCTCTTGATAAAAAATAAAGCGTACGAACATTCCGAACACAGATTCAGAAGTTACACGACATTGGTACGTGATTGTCATTTGTCACCAACGGTCACCAGTGAGAGCACAGACCAAAGACAGTAGCAATTTCAAGCCTATAAAAGGTTAAACTTTTATGGTGAGGGCACACCAAGGAAACTGGCAACCGCAATTTCCAAGAATTGTTTTCGGCCTGAGCAGCACAAATGCAGAAAACGACAACGCAACTAGCGAAAAGACTGAGAAACTCAACTTCAAGGCAGTGAACATGCCAGTCTTCACATAATTGTGTTGCTGCGTGGTTTCCTAGTGTCAGCTGTTCTATAACGCAATTCAGTGATCGTTTCGTTTGATGACACTAAAACTCGACGTAGCTGCTGTGTTCCCCAAAGGCCGAGGGCACACCAAGGAAATTGGCAACCGTAATTTCCAATAAATGTCGCCGATTTCAAGCAGGCAACTGGTTTCCTGCTTAGCAGGCGCACACTGAGAAAACTTATGTTAGATTAGTTGCCCACATAAATTTAAGTGGATATGTTCGTCCGGAGTAATGCATTGCATTTTTTTTAATTTAGTGCACTTACCTTCTGCAATGGAAGATAATAATACTAATCCTGTCACAATATGTGGGTAGGAACACACTGATTATTTCTTTCTCTCTGCTAGGAAACTTAACTACTTACTGATCATTTTGTTACCAAATGGTAGCAGATATATGTGAATGAGAGAATTAGTCATGATAATTGGAACATGACATTCATAGTTTACCATTGTGTAAATGCATAACAATGCAACAGTATTTCAAATGTGCTGCTAGTGTCAGTTATGATTTCAGAAACAAATAGCATACTTCAATTGTTGTCACTCACCACCATTCCAATTAAATGTATGCAAGCTTAGTCACTTCTGAAATGTGAATATTATTGAAGTATGTAAGAATGAAATTTAGAAAAAAAAGATATCTTATCAATTAAAGAGAAAGGAGCCTGGTGATCAAAACTGCTCTCAAATAGAGGGCATCTGGTCACCCTGTGTATGTACATATTAAAGAACCTGAGAACCAAGGAACAGATACAAAAATACAAAGATATTTTCCCCTTGACCATGAATTGTACTGCTAATATAAAGGCTTGAGTTATATAAGGTAAAATTGTCCCTGTGCTTAACTAATTAAGCACTACACCAGGATGGCACATTGGGGGGAGGAGGATGTATAGAACCACATTTTCTTAACCTGGGCACTAGTTGGTGGTGAGTGGTCAGCTTCACGTCCCGGCTGCTTGACCCCCTGGGAAAGAGCCCCCTGTACCCACTGGATAGGAGGTTGGATGAACCCCAGAGTCCCTCTGGACAACATGGCGAAATATATTTTTATATATTTCACAATTTTCATACAGAGAATATAACACAAACTAAATGTTCAAGACTGACACTAATGAAAAATGTTACATCAAAATCTGGCAAAGAAAAATGTTGAGGTAATTACTCTAAGTAATTTAGAAATTACTGGTCCAGTGATTGAAGTTAGCTTGTTCTAAAGGACCCAACAGGGTGTCTTCCACCCTGTCACCTGAGGATGGAGACATCCAGTTTCCAAAATGTTCTCTTTTTAGGGATACAAGATGATGGACAAAGTCCAAGAACCCAGCAATCCCAAGTGTTAATTTTCAGGAATTAATCTTTTAGAACTGAAATTGATTTCTTGATGTTCTCCCTGTAAAGGTAATTTCTTTTGATAAATGATATAATGATATAAACTCCATTCCAAGTGCAAACAATATATTATGTGTCCTTGATCTTGCTCCTTTACACTACATGTTTCGGCCTCAGACGGCCATCATCAGGTGTATAACACTCACGTTGCTGTCACACTGCATCCAGCCCAAAATTTAACATTAATATTGTAATTTCTTTCCATCATCAGTTTATGAACCGTTGCTTATATTAACCATACTCATACAAAATTAGTAAAATGTTAAGACAATCAAATCAAGGCATTTGAGATGGGCTAGGCATGTAGCATACATGCACTTAGGAAGTTAGAATGCTTATCAGTGATTAAGAATTGTTAGCAAATTGGTCATTCCATTACAATTATAAACAATGCAGTGGTATTCCATATGGTCATTTCAATCATCGGGTTGAGTACTATCAACATCACACTTGTACTGCAGCTCTTATTTAATAATTATTCCAATGTTTAATATTAATTCATTTCTCAATGACTGTTTGTATTTGAATTGAGGCTCCTTATTTGGTAGAATATTAACTGTGGAAAACAACAGCCTACTTCTTTGAGGCAAAATGTAGATCTCAGCCTCTTTGGAAATTTTTAAAACTACCATTCACTTCAGGAAAATTAAATGTTTCAAAACCTATGACAGGACTACAGAATAGGTCTCCCCTAAGGTCTATCGAATGCAAAATACCACAACACAGTAAACCCTCGGTAATTCAGATTAATGAAGCAAAATATAGCCACGAAAGACAAAGAAAATAAAAAAAAAATTAAAGAAAATGTAATAATATATTTAGTGGCGATCAAAATATACAAAAAAAAAATCACTGTAGCAGCACTGTCAGAAAATGAAACCCAGAGTCTCCTTCATCCAGCTCAAGCCAATCTTGGATATTTCCTTGTGTGGTTTCCGTATCAACAACTGCTGTCAACACAGTCTGAAAGTCCTCTTGCTCCTAGACGTTCAACTTTGAACATAATTTTTCATTTTTCATATTTCTATCTGAATTATCCAACATCTAGATTAACTGTAACCAGATTAGCGAGGGTTTACGGTATACATGGAAATGGGTGTAGTGGAATAGAAGTGTACAAAGAACAAACACCCACACTCCTCTCTATACATAAATACAAAATGTAGATTCATATCTGAGTGACCTTTAGTTACTCTAGTATTCTGCTTCACGACGTTATGGTAGGATCACACAAATCTCACAATAGGAATAAACATAAGGAATTAACATGCACTTAGGTAAAGTTATATTCTCATGAATGTATGGAATGATGTACAGGCATCCCATGATTTGTGAGGGTAATTCATACCATGAAAGTTCATAAATGGAAAATGATACTTCCATGTGTTCTACATCTAAAAGTTGCCAAACTCAGAAATATTGTTTGTTGTAGCGATAATTTGGAAACTGATTGTTCATAAAATGAGGAATACCTATATTTGAGTACTTAAAAAATGGAACACAGAGGAAATTTAAATAATCTATTCTGTACTTTTGGGAAATGGAAAACAGAGTGTAGTCTTCAATATCTACTCAGAGCTTCTGGCAAAATATTACTACAAATCACATAAGAAATAATAAAAAACAGTGAATGAATTTATCTTCTAACACAGCTTGTACATACCGCCCTATACATTCATATATTTACAACAACCTTCACTTGCTAGCTCATTCAGCCCTACTAGAAATCCAGACTTATATAATATATGGGAATTTGAGTCTTACAATATGCAGTAAAATCACAGTAATGTTTCCACATAGTTTCTTCTACATGTAATGTCTTTATGCACATTCATTCCATAAGTGAGTACATACCAGCAAGTTATGCCTATTTGTTCATGTGTACTAAACAGATTTTAACTTAACATAGTTTCTACTGAAGCCACACGAGCAAATCAAATATTTGAGCATATAGTTACTCTTTTCCATAAATCTCAAATTCAACATTTTTTTCTTTTATTTTCACACATTTATTATACATAATCTGCAGAATTTCAACAAATATATATGTTCAATAAGCACTGGTTTGTGAATGAGTTATGCCCAGTGGCATAACTCATATGTTTTCTTCTTCTTTTCATTCAGGTATCATTTTAATTCTTATATTGGGGTTTTATGCAGGTCTGTCTGGTACAGTTAGGATAGTGTATCTTTTCAGTCTATGTGTCGCTATTGTCTAGTAGGTTCCCTGCTAGTGTATTAGTATGGTTGTCTAATTTTCTTAAGTATTTGGTATTTTAATTTATATTTCACTGAGGACTGTGTTCATTTGTAGATCTTTCCTGTGGTTATGTACCAAGGTGCATTCAGAATGGATCAAAGTCGTGGATTCAAAGCGCTGTAGGATTTCAATGCTGAAATTGGAGGCTGTCCCCCACAGCTGAATTTCATAGGTCCATATGGGTTGGAGTACCGCTTTGTATAGGAGTTTGCTTTCTATTGACAGCGTCATCTTTTGATTGGCAAGTACATTTGTTTCGCTTTTCAGTTGAGCTGTTTTCTTTTGATGTGCCTTGCCCATGACAGTCTTCTGTTGAGATGCATTCTCAGGTATTTCACTTCATTTTTCTGGGGTAGATCAACATTGCCCATTTACACTGTCGGACAAGTTTGGTCACATAGGGTGAATGTAATATGCATGGATCTGCTTTGATTTATTTTAATTCTCCATTTCTTTGCCCAATCGTCGATCTTATTGATGGTGGCTAAGATTGGTCCTTTATAAAGATGAAGAGGTCCAGTAAATCTGGAGTTTTGTTGATATCTGGTGGCCAATAAGTTGGTCTGCCCATGGATAGTATATCTAGTTGCTTTTCTTGTATGGTTGGTATAGTTTACGAACTTTAGGACTGATTAAGTGGGAACCTCAGTGTTTGTGTTTCACACTGAAATCACCTCCATTTGTGTTCAGTTTTTTATTAGCAACAGGTGGTAACATTGTTGTTATATTAGCACGTGTTTCTATCTGCTGTTGTTTTATTGATGTATTTACTCAATTTTCATTTGGATACAACTAAACAAGTTCTCCCCTGGAATGTGAGCATGATCTTACTCAAGTAACTTTTTGGACATCTGTTATGATGCTTCATGCAAAAATTTGTTGCAAAATGTTTAATATGGTGGAGGATGTACGATGGGGTACCCAAAACAAACCAAACTAATTTTTTTGTGGGCAGAGCTTTTGTAGTACTGCGTTTTGCCACTATGAGCACATAGAGCTAACATTCCTGAGTCGATAAGCCGACTAACGTTGCTTCAGAAGGTAAGGACTAGTTTCGGCAGAGTTTATAGTGACAACTGTTTTGTGTGATCGTCATTTTTGCAATGGTTGATTTTTGTGAACAGCGTGCGGCG